AGATCTCTTTGCCTAGAGTTAGTGGGTGGTAAACGATAAGGTGGAGAGGTGGGGAATGGTATCCTATTGGCAGAGACCCTGAGTCCCTATGGAGAAACTTAAACTTCATCTCCTGAAACGATCTTGGTGCTATAAGATGGATGAGGGTGGTGATGGGGAAGATAGACAGATTATTTGGCAACCGTAGAGGAAAGACAGGAAATAAAGAAGGCACCCAGAAAACTCTGGGAGCAGTTCAGACACAAGCACTGAGAACCCAGGTAAAAACAGTAAGGTTAGGGAAACAAAAGGAACAATCAAGAAAAATTATTTTTCAAAAAAATCAGTATAACTTTTATAGCCACAGAATTAGATTTAGGTGTGGTTAGTGTTATTATTCATTTTATCTCGGCCACAATACTCAAGCCACCAAATGGAAGTTCTGTAAGTTTACCTATTATTTTCCATAGACATCTGGTTTGATTGCTTTGTTATTTTACTGAATATGCATTCAAGACATTGCCCACCCTAGGACAGCTAGAAGGAACTTGCAGCCAGGTGTTAGAATCTCAGCTGTACTACTTGTTACCTAGATGATATAAATGAGTCACTTAACATCTCTGACTTCCTATTCCAACTGAGAAAGCACATTGTAAATGACCAGATCTTACATAGATACACTGTGATACTATCGTGACTTCAAGAAAAGCTTTTGGTACTAAACCTGGGATTGCCTGCACTCTTGTTTTAAGGTTGAATTTATTTCCAAAATAAATATTATCATTTCAAATTCTAAACACTCTGGACATTCCTATATCAACAGATAATAATGTTGTAGTGGCCATACAAAATAATTTTTAGGGAGGTATTGTTACTTGCATTTTTTATATGTGAGTTTCACCTTCTTCCTAAGTCCCATTTTTTAAAAAGGGAAACAAAGAATTCATTTTGGTACAGAAATTTAGCTAAACTTCATCTTTTCCTCTAAGAACAGAAAAATTGGGTTGACATCAAGCCCACTTAGAAATTATCAGGCTTCCTGTTACTGACAGATTCATTCAAATGTAACAGATGAGTATCACAGAACATTTGGCTGTCCATATTCCAGGTCTGTTTGCAACTAAGAAGTACAAAGATGTCTTAAATTTATAGCTAATGATAAATTGTGATATATTAAGATGAAATTATTGATTTATGGTTTTTGACTGTTCTTGTAGTTTATAAAACTTAACTAGTTACTGTATATATGAGAGTGATACATGGAAAAACCAGAAAGGCTATAAATGCACATATGTGTGCACTGATACCTGTAGCCATCAGCATGAATTACATAAGTCAAGTAGGGTTTTCTAATTACATACAAGCTGTCACATGATCAAAAGATTACATACATATAACTAAATTTTCAACTAGCATTAGAAATCTCTCTCTTGCATTCATATATATGTATATATGTGACATTCATTTGCATATATATATGAAATTAACACCCCTTTGGAAGTATCTTAATTTGTTTCTAATAAAATATTGAAAAACAATTCTTTTTAATACAGCAGTTTTTCTCGGGCTTAGATTGAAAAGCAGTCTGAAAACTATTTAACTTCTGCAGCATCTGGGGCAATAGTGGACAAGTGCCAGCACAGGACTTTATCGCGGTATAAATGGGGTTTTAAGTGTTTGTTTCCAGTGCAGGTTCTCGCAGCCCAGGCACTTCCCAGTCTCATTGTTCCTTTGTTCTAGCGGATGTACAAAGGATTGACTGTTTTGTTTTCTGGCTCAGAGAGATTAGATAAAGCCTGCATTTCTGAACTTCACCCTCTAGGCACGCAACCTTAAAATTCATTTCTATAGCTTATATTTTGCAGATTATATGTGGTTTAGATGATACTGATCACACCATTATTGTCTTTAACCTTCATCTGGCTTGGAGACAGATGACAGTATTGATCTCCTTTGAGCTATCGCTGGAAAGCAGCTGTCCCTCGCATCCTTGTCCTTAAAATGCCTCTTCAGCAAAAATGTGTCATCTCAACTATGACAAGGTTGTTCTTGAGTTTCGTTGGGAACCAGAATCTCCTGGTAGTGAAGTGCCTTATTCTTGCCAGGCAACAGAAAACTTTCTGTGAGCGGAAATTATGTTCATTCTTTTTGTTAAGATGTCCTTAATTATAGACCATTATGTAGGATAGGAAATTTAAATAATATTGCCAGGGGGGCGAAAAAAAGCTACAGTTTTTCTCCAAGAACCTATAAACTAGAATCATCTTGGGAATTTTTTTATTTTATCTTAATGGTGAGAAAGTTAGGTCATGGGAATTAACTGATAAGATTGTATCAAGTTTTTTATATGAAGAAGGCAAGTAAGGCTGTTAGTTTAGTTTTAAAAAATTGTATTCTACTTCTGCCTCCATTTTATCAGTGATTCAGAGGAAACTTTTTTTATGATCAAGTGTAAGTTTATATTGAGTGCCCATTCTGTGCCAGGTAAAACCTGCTTTACACCTCAAAACATCCGAGAATGTAGGTATTATTATAATCCCCAGACAGATGGGAAAGCAGAGATTTAGATGGATTAAGCGACTTGTACAAAATCTTCTGATTGATACATGATGGAGCCGAGGATTTGAACTAAGTTCCGTCGGACTCCAAAGCCCACATTCTCTGCCACTGCATTTCTCTGCTTCCATGACAAGATCTCCTGTTTATAGAAATAGTAACAGCAGCTAACAATGAATACTTACTATGTGCCAGACACTGTTCTGAGTGCTCTAGAGAAAACCCTCAATTTTATCTTCATAAACAGGGGCACCTGGGTGGCTCAGTCGGTTAAGCGTCCAACTCTTGGTTTCGGCTCAGGTCATGATCTCCTGATTTAGTGGGTTTGGGCCCCATGTTGGGCTCTGTGCTGACAGCATGGAACCTGCCTGGGATTCTCTCTCTTCCTCTCTCTGTCACTTCCCCAGTCACACTATCTCTCTCTCAAAATAAATAAATAAACTTAAAAAAAAATTTTAATTCTTCGTAACTATCTTGCCAAAAAGATAGTATTATTATCAGCATTGCACGGATGAAACAGCGAGGCGCGGGGAGGTTAAGGAATTACCTGAAGTACACAGCTACAATGAAGGAGAACCTGATTCAGGTCCAGGCTGCCAAACTACAGAGCCTACACCCTTTGGGTGAACCTCTGCTGTGCTTGGGTGTAAACCACACAACTTGCGCTTTGGGCTCTCTGGGTTACTGATGCCTTGGCTTCCTTGTCAACTGACATTTATATTATTATTAGTTCTTGTATTATAAAATGTTAGGTGGCTTGTGGTTTTTTTGTTTGTTTGTTTGTTTGTTTGTTTTTGCAGTACGATGTAGTCCTATAAATCACAGCATAAAACACACACATGAAAAGACATTAGACTGACCACAGGCTGTATTTAGCTTACGTGTGGTATCTGTAGGTGACCCATAGATAGTCTTCTGAGTTGGCTGGCCATAAATGTCTTGTCGATATAGACTAAGACCACCTTGTTCCTATTTGTATTAATGTTAGTCACAAGCAAACACCTTCTTAAAACATATACTGTTCTAAGAAGATTCTAGGATCTGAAGTTTCAGAGTAAAGTTTCAGAGGTTTCATGAGTAAAATGTAATTTGCCAAGTGTAGGGAAGAACTCAGATCTCTATAGCCATGCCACTAAAACATCTGACCTGGCTTTGAGTTTTAGCCTACAATATCTCGATCCGACTTTCTAGATCAAGAACCAGGTTGGATTTCTGAAAATTGCTCATATGTAAATGTCTCTCAATGTTGCTATTCCCTGCATTCAGAGTAGGGAGAGCCTTATTTCTCAGATGGTCCCACTGCATCATAGAATGGCAGGTCACCAAACACTATTGACTTAGTTCCTGATGCAGGGACAGGCGGCTCATCCTACTTCAAGTTCCACAGTGAAGATTCAATACACAGGAAATGGGATATGGGACTCCTCAAACTCACCCATGGTTTTGAGAGTTGAAACTAAGTGAACAGCTGGGTGCAGGACTAACCCTCTCTACCTTCTCTGGAGGCTTTAGCAGCTCCAAAATGTCCTAGAATGCAAGTTGAGAAAATGTAAGGAATCCCAGCTGTTGGGAGAATTCATTTTGTTGAGCAAACCTAGGCGAGGCTCATAATCAGGTCATTGTTTGTGGTTTTCTGATATTTAAAAACAATCCAAAGTTGTGCCACCTGGGAGGCTCAGTCAGTTAAGCTTCCGACTCTTGGTTTCGGCTCAGGTCATGATCTCATGATTCGTGAGGTCAAGCCCCACACCAGGCTCCATGCTGCCAGTGCAGAGCCTGCTTGGGATTCTCTCTCTCCCTCTCTCTGCCCTCCCCCTGCTTGCACATGCGCTCTCTCTCTCTTTATCTAAATATATAACCTTTAAAAAAAAAAAAAAAAACTAACGCTATGTATACTTAACCCCCAAAATCCACAACCTAAAAAATAAAATGTTCAGGGGCACCTGGGTGGCTCAGTTGGTTAAGTATCTGACTCTTGATTTCAGCTCAGGTCATCATCTCATGGTTTTTGAGTTCGAGTCCTACATCGGGCTTCGTACTGACATTGTAAATGAACATACAAACCAAAAAAAGTTCAGTACAAATTTCAAAATTATTTCCTAATGTCTGTATTTTCTATTAAGATTTTTGGTATTTCTCCAGGCATAGCCTGGATGTTTGTCAGTGTGTGGAAAGTGCAAAACTTGCAAGCCAAAGAGCATAGAACCTTTCATGGAATTCTAAGCTCAGAACTTTCTTAACAAAGAAGTTTTATTCAGAAAAAGAAGTGTATCTGACTAGTAGCTAAGTGGGTTTCTTTTTTTAAATGAAATGGTAAGTGTGAAAGTGGAGCAAAATGCCAATTTGTTTCATGGGCAGCAGATTCTCAGAGTCTTTAAGGAAAATGAATCTGTGTTACAGCAAACTAACATGTATTTGCACAAGTCTTTAAGCCATGTCATCTTTGGCGGGTTTTGGCCTTGCAGATCCTTTACCTCCTGCTAAGTTTGAAGTGAATAAAGAGAAGACTACTTCAACCAGTCTGCATGTTTGGTGGACTCCTTCTTCTGGAAAAGTCACCCGCTATGAGTTGGAGTTATTTGACAATAGCCACAAGATACAGGAGACCCAAATTCAAGAAAGTACTTCCTGGAGCGAACATACATTTTTTAACCTCACTGCTGGTAATAAATACAATATTGCCATCACAGCTGTTTCTGGAGAGAAACGTTCCCTTACAGTTTATACCAATGGATCAACAGGTAAGACCGTTTATAGATAGTCGAGTATTTAATACAGTAAATTGAAGAGATAAAAGTAAGAACGCCCCCAGACCAAAGATGATAGGTAGATAAGTAGACAGACAGACAGACAGACAAATGCTGTGCAGTGCAGTGGGTAGACTAGACTGAAAATAAGGAGATGTGGCTGCGCTGCTAGCTTGCTGGTTGATTCTGAACAAGTCCTGGAACTTCTCTAGGACTGGAATTTTCTCCAAACTTAAGTAGGCGTTTCCTAATGGCCTTTCTAACTCAAATCTTAGGCAACAGCATTTTCTGCCTCAGGTTCCCAGTTTGTAATAAAACTTATTTTTTAAGTGTTTTCATCCTTTGTATATTCTTTTCAGAACATCAAGTCATGACGTTTCCTAAATATTCTGACGCCCGGAACGAGTTTTTACTTGCCCCCACACGTCCCGATGTCAATGACACACTCCACCTCCTTCCATGAAGTACCATCCTTCTCACCATGCCCTGTCCTCTCGTTTTCTCTCCTGCTTTCTTGCTGTATTTCTGTTTTTGGTCTTGCATAGTTCTTCCCTTTCTTTTCCCTTTGCTGCTATGCCATATCATAGTTCATTGGCAAAAATTACCTTCATACCTGTTAAGTGGGTAAACTATGATGTGACTTTAGGCGCGGACTTTGAAAAGAGCATTAATCCAGGCTCCAGTGAAATTTCAAGAGTGCTGTTTTCATTACTTATTATACAAATTAGATGTACAGAGAAGCATACATAAATGTGTCATTTTGAATTAAATGTGTCTATGTCTTCTCTAAGGAAATTATCAATGACCCTTTGGCAATGCATTTTATGTCCCTAGTGCCATCTCCGGTGAAAGATATCAGTATTTCAGCCAAAACCAATTCTCTCTTGATTTCCTGGTCCCATGGCTCTGGGAATGTGGAAAGATACCAGCTGACGCTCATGGATAAAGAGACCCTAGTTCATGGCAGTGTTGTGGACAGACATGCTACTTCTCATACTTTCCACGGACTGACACCTGGCCACCTCTATAACCTGACCATTGTGACTGAGGCTGCAGGGCTGCAAAACTACAGATGGGCACTGGCCAGGACGAGTAAGTTCCGCTAACCAGCTGAACAAGAATAAAGCTCAAATCAAGGAAATGTTTAATAACCAAGGATTATTAAATTATTTGAATAATGGCAATATGGGACAAATTGAAATTCTTATGTTACAGAAGGCCCTTAAGATGTACCCACTTTTCTACTCAGAGAAAGAGAGATTCCCTTTTATTCTAAATTTTAGATGAGCCCTCGGCAACATTCTCAAGTACAGAGTTAACCGCTGATATAGTCTTAGCTTGTCTTTTTAGTATTCTGTTCTCTTTGGTAAGGATTCCTACTTCCTTCTCTTAAATAAGCATCCTCTGCCCTGTGACATCACTCACAATGAGCCAAGATTACCTTTCTCAGTGCTATACAAAGACCTGCTCCTGTGAAACAGCCGTTTCTTAAACCCAGTATCCAATAAAACATGCCCTGAGACCCAAGGCTACAGGAGCTATACTCACAGCCTAACATAGCCGGATAAACTAATCTGTGCTAAGTGGTTTTGTTTTTTAAATTTTTTAAATGTTTTATTTATTTTTGAGAGAAATAGAGACAGAGTGAGAGCAGGGAGGGGCAGAGAGAGAGGGAGACACAGAATCCGAAGCAGGCTCCAGGCTCTGAGCTGTCAACACAGAGCCCGACATGGGACTCAAACTCACAAACTGTGAGACCATGACCTGAGCCAAAGTCAGACGCTCAACCAACTGAGCTATCGAGGTGCCCCAATCTGTGCTAAGTTTTAATGAATATTTCATGTACACATTCATTCTATTCATTCATTTGTTCAGGATCTATCGAGTGTAAACTATATGCTAGGCATTGTGGATATAATAGTGTCTAACAAGGCCAAAGTCTTTGCCCTTTGGAGCTTACATTCTAATGGAGTCTAATGCTTCTGGTGGGTCTAATAAATTCATTCTTTTGATAACTTATTCCCTCTCTTGAGAAACTATCTACTTTTAAGAGAAACTTTTAAGTATGTAGTGACTTAGAAATTATTCTAATGGGGAGAGTTCTTGGGACTACAAGAGATTGGTGAGAAAGATATCTGGGGGCACCTGTACATTTACATACCCTTCATATCACACCTCAAAAGATGTATAAACATTCCCAACAAATATGTACCATATATCTTGGGCCAGCCTTGGCTGGCTCCGTTGGTGGAGCATGTAACTCTTGATCTCAGGGTTGTGAGGGTGAGCCCCACATTGGGTACGAGATTGCTTAAAAATAAAATCTTTAGGTGTGCCCAGGTGGCTCAGTCGGTTAATTATCTGACTCTTGATTTTGGCTCAGGTCATGATCTCGTGGTTCATGAGTTCAAACCACGCATTGGGCTCTGCGCCAACCATGCATGGCCTGCTTGGGATTCTCTGTCTCCCTCTCTCTGCCCCTCCCCTGCTTGCTCTCTATCTCTTTCTCTCAAAATAAATAAATGTTAAAAAAAATTTTTAAATAAAATCTTTTTTTTTTTTTAATTTTTTTTTTCAATGTTTATTTATTTTTGGGACAGAGAGAGACAGAGCATGAACGGGGGAGGGGCAGAGAGAGAGGGAGACACAGAATCGGAAACAGGCTCCAGGCTCTGAGCCATCAGCCCAGAGCCCGACGCGGGGCTCGAACTCACGGACCGCGAGATCGTGACCTGGCTGAAGTCGGACGCTTAACCGACTGCGCCACCCAGGCGCCCCAATAAAATCTTTTTTTAAAAGTACCATATATCTTAAGAGTTATTAATGTATATCAAGAGAAAATTGTACTTATCACTGGCTTATGCAAAATCAGTGTGATGTGCCCATTTTTAAAATGAAACATTTTTGTTTTGTTATTAGTGAAGCCCAAAATTATGACATAGCCAAGAGGTAGAAAAAGTATTCACCAAAGTGTTTCTCTTTGTAATCATTTTCCTTTGATGAAATAATGACACAACTCTTGAGCTTTAACTTTATCATGATTTTATATGAAAGATAGCATATTTTTAGCACACAAAATTTTGTGATGGCCGATGAGTTGACCAGTCTATTTATTGTGTACTTGCTATTATTAAATACATAAATATGGGAAGAAATTAGGCAGATGACAGACTTCTTTGAGCATTCCAAGACGTCATTTGCCAGTGAAGATCCCTAGGCTCAGTGAGATACACAGAGCTGTCCAGTGTTGCCCAGCTGACTAATGGCCACGTCTGAGCCAGAATCCAGGCTCCTGACTCCAATCTTTGTGCTCTTTCCAACAGCCAGACAGCCTTTCTTTGATTTTGCAGTATTATTTTTGCTAGTGAAATTGTTTTCTTCTGAGCAGGGAGTGCGGCTTTCAGGGATTAAAGTACAGGTCAAAATCTGGCCATAAGACTGGTCCAATATCCTGAGTTAAAGTGTCTTTTCCTTTCTTCTTATTTAGCCCCCATGGAAGTCTCAAATCTGAAGGTGACAAATGATGGCACTTTGACCTCTCTAAAAGTCAAGTGGCAAAGACCTTCTGGAAATGTGGATTCCTACAACATTACCCTGTTTCACAAAGGGACTATCAAAGAATCCAGAACACTAGGACCCCGGGTTACTGAAACTCAATTCAAAGACTTAACCCCTGGAAGACTTTACCAAGTTACTATCAGCTGTATCTCCGGTGAATTGTCTGCTCAGAAGATGGCAGTGGGCAGAACAGGTGAGTGTAGGGCTCCGAATATTCCTTGGTTGTCCAAATCATTGTCTGATCCATCTTAGATCCATTCATCACGGCAAAATAAGTTCACGATTTGGGAAATATGGTCTACGTGACTGAGGGTGCCTACGGGCCAGGGCCCCATATATGGAAGAAAGCAGAGGGTTAACTGCATTCCTCTGAGTTATTTAAGCAAATGTGTTTGGAATGGTTCCTGAATGATGTGCCTAACTGGCTCTGCCCTGTGCTATTTCATGTCACAGCACTTAAGTAGCGTAGATGCATTAGCATTGATACTAATGAATAAGACGTTTCTGATCAACTCTTATAGTGAGGGCCAGTTAACACTTAATCATGTTTTCCATAAATTATTTTATTAACTTATGCAACCAAACATTTATCCAGTGCCTCCTATGTGTAAATTTCTGTGCGGTGAGTTTGGGAAGTTGTTAAAATGTCAGGGTTCAGCAAACTACACCCTTTGGCCAAATATGGCCTGTGACCTATACTTGTATAGGTCTTGCCTTAGCCCCAAGCTAAGTGTGGTTTTTACATATTTAAAAGTTTTTTTTTTTAAAGGAAAAAGAAAGACAAATATGAGACAGAGACCATACGCGGCCTGCAAATCCTGAAATATTTACTTTGCCGACCCTTGCTTTTAAGGAAGTTTCATTCTGATCAGACAAATATAGAATACACACACACAAAAATAAAAGAGTACATTTTAATAATAGTAATTGCATTGATATTTCCATGTATCAGTCACTAACTAAACACTTTACACCGTTATTTCATCAAGTTCTCCCTACAAAACCATGAGAGAGGTTCTGTTACTATCATTTTACAGATAATTCAGACAGATGAATTGGTGGGGTCCAGACAGTAAATGGTGGGGTTAGAATTTAAACCAGAGTGTTTAAGTCAAGAGTCCGTTCTCTGTGCTGTTAGAGATTCCAACTAAGAGCCTTACGGTCAGAAAAACAAGAGAACAAAATTCTTGTTCAGAAGAGCAGTAAAGACTTTTCAGAGGAAATGGTTTTTAACTGGGACCTAAAAAATGTGAAGCGGGAAAAGAGGAAAGGGCATTCGAGGTTGAAGGAATAACATAAGCAAAGGCAGGAAGGCAGAAGAGCCCAGGATACTAACAGGTCTCCAGAACATGCAATTGGAGGCCAGCATTTGGGAGAGTGGGGAAGCAGGGAGGGTGGCTCCAGGGAGTGGTCAGAGGTTATGGGGTCTGATCTTGGAAAGCTATGAATGCCACACCCAGGACTTGGTGTTTTATTCTGTAATTAATGGAGAGACCTTACATGTTTTTAAGCAAAGGAATAATTAGACCAGAGCTATATTGCAAGAAGATTAATCTTGTTTTTGGAAAAGAATGTTTCATGACCACAACATGCAGTGTCTCTACCAAAAGACACCAACCACATCCATCAATGTCAACATCATTAGAAGCAACATCAATACTGTCCCTAGGGCTGGCGTGCAATCAAGAAAACACAGCGCTCCTATATCTAGGTTATTAACAGTGTGACAGAAAATTGCATTACTGGTATATTACCAAGATGATTTTAGCGTTCATTTCTTGAGTGTCAAATGCCTCCAAAATTAGGAAAGAATACTCGCTTGCAATCCACAAACATTAGAAGGGGATAGAAATATTTTGAATTGCAGCAATCAGGTCTCTTATCTACTTTTTCCCATGAAAAGTGAATGAGTATCCTTACTTTTGGTTTTTAGAATCTCCTTTTTGACATCATTTCACCGTTTAGTTCCAGAGCAAGTTGGGAACCTGGAAGCAAACAGCAATGGTTCGATAAGGTCCCTACTAGTGAGCTGGTCGCCCCCTGCTGGAGACTGGGAGCAGTATCGTATCCTGCTCTTCAATGATTCTGTGGTGCTGCTCAACATCACGGTGGGAAAGGAGGAAACACACTATGTCATAGATGACTTGGGGCTCATACCAGGAAGACAGTATGAGGTAGAAGTCACTGTTGAGAGTGGAAATCTGAAGAATTCTAAGCGTTGCTATGGCAGGACAGGTAAGGAAATACCAACGTGGTAATGACTGTTGGAACCTTAACTTGGTCCCTCTCCCAAGTAACACAGATAGTGGTCAATATCATCCCTCCTCCGCCTCCCCGTGTTCCCTAAATTTGAGATATTATAGACTTATTATAGACTGAATTAGGTTTGGTAATGTTTAATTTTGTCAAATTAGAACATTAAAAATCGCTTCCAGTAGGAAGTCCATTATTCTATAAAAAGAAAGCCATTTTAAACACCAAAAGAATAGGAAGAAAACAATCTGAGAATCCTTCCCACAAAAGAGGACAGCTGACAATTTTTCTACTTGACCTAATTTGCCTTGACCTAATGTTGACTAATTTCATGTATCAAGGAAAGGTTATTAACGTGAAGAGGGATATATTTGGATTTTAGGGTAGAGGAGAATGAAAATCCCGAGACATGGGTTTTGGTATTCTGGCTGTCACCACTATACTGTAACACCTTGGGCAAGTCACAACCCCTTTGAGTGTGTTTCCTCAACTTTCAAATAAGAGAATTGCCCTTCCAAGCTTAACATTTCTATGATATGGAATGTCCATACTTGATATGAAATTTGAATATCTTCTCTCTTAGTCTTGCCTGATGATAAGTAAATAACTGCATTGATTCAATGTTCTTCTTGGAAGAATGTCAAAGAAAAGGACCAAGACACCTCCTTAGCTTGCCAACGGGGTCTTCCAGTAATATCTTCATTTTCTAGATATTAATATCCCTTAAATAATGATCAAAGACCTATATAAGCTTAAACCAAGCTACTTTTAGCATTTCACAGAACAAGTGTCTATGTCCTCTCCGATCTTGTACCTCATTCACCTAAAATAACTTGGAATACTGTGAAACAATAAGGCCTCTCAGCATAACTGTCATAATTATCAGGAAAATTTTCTTAAACTGTACCTCTAGGTGAATAAGGTAAGTCGAAGTAGGCTTTGCTGTAACAACCCAATTCGTTTCAGTGTATTAAAGAAGGAAGATACAGATTTAGGGACTCAATTAGAATGGAATTATAGAAAATTTCTTTGATGTAAAAATCAATATGGTTCTTCCATAATTTTGTTTCCCTGTTGTTTTGTGGGACCAGTACTTGATTCTTAAAGATGTATCCTAGAAATTGTTTTTTTTTTTTAATTTTTTTTTTAACATTTTTATTTATTTTTGGGACAGAGAGAGACAGAGCATGAACGGGGGAGGGGCAGAGAGAGAGGGAGACACAGAATCAGAAACAGGCTCCAGGCTCTGAGCCGTCAGCCCAGAGCCTGACGCGGGGCTCGAACTCATGGACCGCGAGATCGTGACCTGGCTGAAGTCGGACGCTTAACCGACTGCGCCACCCAGGCGCCCCTAGAAATTGTAATAATAAAACTTTTTAAAGAAATAGAAACAATTTCAATTCTTTGGATAATGGGAGCCCTTAATCAGGTACTGTTATTACTCTTGCTTTCATGGGTACATCAATGGCCCCTTCTCAGAAATGAAGGGAAGAAGCACTTTGTCTTTCCAACCTAACGGAGTAAAAAATACTCCTAACTTCACCTAAATACTCAAACATGGACCTTTCTCTGTAGGTTTGTGGATGACAAGATTGAATTAAATATTTTTGTATCATAGGGTTCATGTGAAGAAATAAATACTCAAGGTAATATGTGGTCAAAAATAAATGATCCAGAAAAGTACCTTCCAATAGTATTCTTTTGAATCCTCCTTTCTGGATACGTTATATAAACAAAGTTTGGAGTGCCTGCTGGCTCAGTGGGAAAAGCATGCAATTCTTGATCTCAGGGTTGTGAGTTTGACCCCACATTGGGTGTAGAGATTACTTAAAAATAAAATCTTAAACAACAACAACAAGAACAAGGATTAGCTTTTTTTTCTTCTTCTTCTTTCCCTGAGAGCTCATACACATTCAGAAAAGAAATGCTGAACTGGAACACTCCTATAGTTGGAAGGGAACAGCTCTCTAGGAAATACTCTAGTGTTTCTTTTCTTCCTCCTCCTCTCCTCCTCCTTTCTTCTTCTTCGTCTTCTTCTTCTTCTTCTTCTTCTTCTTCTTCTTCTTCTTCTTTTAATGTTTATTTTTGAGAGACAGAGAGTGAGCATTAGTGAGGGAGGGGCTGAGGGAGAGGGAGACAGAGAATCCAAATAAGGCTCCCAGTGCAAAGCCTGATGCAGGGCTCAAACCCACAAACTGTGAGATCGTGACCTGAGCTAAAGTCCAACGCTCAACTGACTGAGCCACCAGGCACCCCTCCTTCTAGTGTTTCAGAATCAAAACATTGACACAGTCTCCATTGCCTTTTCCTCAGCGCCCCTGGCTGTCCTCCAGCTTCGTGTCAAACACGCCAACGAAACCTCACTGGGTGTCATGTGGCAGACGCCCATAGCAGAATGGGAGAAATACATCATTTCACTAGCTGACAGAGACCTCTTACTCATCCACAAGTCACTCCCCAAAGATGCCAAAGAATTCACTTTTACTGACCTGGTGCCTGGACGAAAATACATAGCTACAGTCACCAGTATTAGTGGAGACTTAAAAAATTCATCTTCGACTAAAGGAAGAACAGGTAATATTCTCTATAAAAGTTTTACTGTGTGCTAAATTGTTTAACATTCAGTTTACAAGTGTTCATTAAGTGCCTATTATGTACTGGCCATTGTTTTATGAATTTTTTCTATTGTTTGTTTTTTATTATATTAATTTCAACTCTTAGTGTTCGTTTGTTTGTTTTACTTTGGGTTTATTTTGTTTGTTTATTTCTTTAAATTTTTCTTAATGTTTATTTATTTTTGACAGACAATGAGAGTCAGAGCATGAGCGGGGGAGGGATAGAGAGAGAGGGAGACACAGAATCCAAAGCAGGCTCCAGGCTCTGAGCTGTCAGCACAGAGCCCGATGCAGGGCTCGAACTCACAGACCGCGAGATCATGACCTGAGCCAAAGTCAGACACTCAGCCGACTAAGCCACCCAGGCGCCCCGGGTTTATTTTGAAATTGAAACAGAGCAGAGAACAACTCTTCCAAGGAGTTTTGCTGCAGAGGAGAGGCAGAGAAATAGGGCAGCATCAGAAAGAGGAAGTATGTTTGAAAGAAGGATTTTTTTTTTCAAGAATAGAAGAGATACCATGTTTTATGTAGACAGAAATGTTCTAGAAGAGAAAGGAGTGGTGACGATATAAGGAAGGAGTTGCTGCAGTTATTATTTGAATAAGCAAGAGATACTGGGATTTAGAGCACAAGTAAAGGAATTGGTGTTAGAAAGGAACTTGAAGGGGTGCCTGGGTGGTTGAGTCAGTTAAGCGTCTGACTTCGGCTCAAGTCATGATCTCGCTGTTTGTGGGTTCGAGCCCCATGTCGGGCTCTGTGTTGACAGCTCGGAGCCTGGAGCCTGCTTCTAAACAATTACCACTTACCTTCTCATCTTTCCTTCCTGTATGTCACAAGTTCTGTCTGGGCGTACTTTCCTTCATTTTGGAAAACGTTCTTCACATGTCCTTAGTTAGAGTTTTAGGGACTAACTCTCCAAACTTTTGTTTTTCTGCATATGTCTTAACATAGCTCTCAATCTTGAAAGATATTTTCCCTAGGTTGCAATTGTGTGTTGAAAGCTAGTTTCTCTCAGCACATTGAAGATATTATTGTAGTCTTTCCGTCATTTATCCTTGCTGTAGAAAAGTCAGGTGTCAGTCTAATTTTTTTTTTTTCTCTCTCCCTGGGTAATCTATTTACTATGACTGCTTTTAAGATTTACTCTTTGCCTTTGGTGTTCTGTTGTTTACAGTAATAACCTAGATACAGACTACTATTTGTGTATCTTGCTTGAGATCATTACAATTTGTGTACTTGTAGGTTAGTATCTTTCCTCATGCCTGAAAATTCTCAGCCATTAACTCTCTGATACTGCCTCTGTTCTCCCTCTGGTATTCTAGAATATATATACATATGCATGTATATGTATATATATATATTTTTTATGTTTTCCATATACTTGCCCTCTTGGCTATAATCTGGATAATTTCCTCAGCCCTTTGTTTTTAGTTCATGAATTTTTTCTTTAGCTCTGTCTCATCTTTTTCAACTTTATCCACTGAATTTTAATTTTAATTGGTATGTTCTTCACTTTGAAACATTCTCTTTAGTTCTCTTTCCATATCTTTTTTGTGCTCGTTTGCTCTTTTGTCATATTTCCATTATCCACGTTTGTTGTTATAAGTAAATAAACCATTTTTATTTTACTTTCTTCTATGTCTGATAATTATAATAGGTGAAATCTTAAGGGGTTCAATCCTGTTGTCTTTTGGGTTTGCTGCCTTTTGCTCATGGTGCTTTACTTCCTTAAGTGTTTGTGAGTCCTTAAACTCATACACCTTGGAAACCTTGTGAGAATTCTTTGAGGACTTGTTTGAAGATGGGTTTTAGAAAGAATTTTCTTTTCATTTGATCCTTTGAGGTGCACGGGTGGCTATCAACCCAGACCTATTTCAATTTGAATTTTCAACTTGAGGTTTTTCAAGCACCTGGTATTAATGAATCTGGGTTGCAAACTCACTGAAACCATCTTGAGGTTATGAATGCTCAGCAGAAATGGTTTTCTTCTCCATCCAGTGCCAAGGAGGCTGAGAGCAGAGAGGGAATATTTATTTCACTTACACTTAGAATGTAACCTTTCAGGACCCAGTGTTATGCAGGGTCACCTATGAGATTCCCCAGTTTGGAAAAGTCCTACACTTTACCTCCTATCCTATAGATCGTGCAAATCTGTAAATCAAAGCTTCAATTTATGTTTGAAAAATGCCACCAAAATGAAAGTATGCTTCGGTGAACCAATTACCTTTCTATCACTTTTAGGTCTCTGAGAGTTCCTTACATTCTTGACAATGCGCTCATACATTTATATATTTATATTTTATCCCACACACATAGTTGTATTTACTGGGAGGGATTTTCACAGTACGTAGCCCACTATATTGCCAGAATTGGAAGTCCAAGGCATTTTGTGAGTCTTAAGATCATTTCCATCATTCTCAACATTCACATTACTGGACCCTATGGTAAGTGTATTGTTTAACTTTGGAAGAAACTACCAAACTGTTTTCCAAAACAGTTGTAAAATTTTACATCCCCACCAACAATATGTGAGATTTCCAGTTCCTCCATGATCTCAGTAGCACTTGGTTTTGCAAGTTTTGTGTTTTTTTTGGTTTTTTGGGTTTTTTTTAGCCATTCCAATAAGTGTGTAGAGGTATATCATGCAGTTTTATCTTGCCTTTCTCTAATGCGTAATGGTTTTGAGCATCTTTCCATATGCCTATTTACCATTCATGTATCTTCTTTGGGGAAGAACATATTTTCAAATATTTGTCCATTTTTTGATGGGGTTGTTTGTTTTTTATCACTTAATTTTGAGAATTCTTTATATATTCAGATATTAGTCCTCTTGTCATAAATGTGTATTGAAATGGTTTCTCTCAGTCTGTGGCTTGTCTTTTCATTAATGTATTAGTGTATTTTACAGAATGTAAGTTTTTAATTTTGATATCCAATTTATCAGTTTTTTTTTTTTTTATTTCATGGACCATACTTTTGGTGTCACGTTAAAAAATCCTTGCCTTGTACAGGGTCACAAAGATTTTCACCTAGAGTTTTTATAGTTTTACATTTTTAATTGAAGTGCATAATCCATCCTGAGTTCATTTTTATATGTGTGTGAGATCTGGGCCAAAGTTTTTGTCTCTGCATGTGGACATCTAATAATTCCAGTCCTATTTGTTGAAAAGACCCTTCTTCCTCCACTGAATTGCCCTCACATCTCTGTAAAAAAAATCAATTGACTATATATGTGTTGGTCTATTTCTGGACTCTCAATTCTGTTGCATCGATCTATGTTTCTGTCTTTTTGCCAGTATCACACTGCCTTCATTACTGAAGCTTTCTAGTAAGTCTTGAAACCAGACGATGTTACTCCTCCAACTTTGTTCTTCTTTTTCAAAATTATTTATTATTTATTATTAGTTCCTTTGCTTTCCATATGAAATTTAAAATGAGAATTGAATCTTCCGACCCAACTACAATAATATTTTTTAATGAATATATTTGTATCTTAATCCAAGAGTTAACAAATTCTAAGAAGGGTTGTGCCACGATTCCAATCCTTTTGATTACCAAAATTCAGGGAAGAGGCACAAAGAAAATCAAATACGTTGATCAAGAGTCAGCTTCAAGATCTGTGTAAGAGATTTTTTAATGGGTAGGTTAGAAATCACAATAGTTGTTAATAGGAGAAGGGCACAGGCTCACAGGTTAGATAGATCAGGCTTTGGATTCCAGGATGACTATTTATCAGCACTGTGATAATAGGCTAAGTTACTTATATTTAATTGTCTTTGGTCTCCTCATCAGTAAAGAGAATCAAATGAAATCAAATGTAGAGTTTCAAATGAGTATCAAATAATATGATTTCTAAAAACTATAGAGTCCATAACTGGCACAAAGCAGGAACTAATAGTTCCAACTACTAGTTATGGTTATCATTGTTAATTACCAGTATTATAAGATAATATAATTTATACTATTGTAGCATTTTCACGTATAGTAATAATGGTCCTCTTGAGAATGCGCCAGTAAGGAATTAACCGGTTTTAAACTACAACCTAATCATCAGGTTGAAGGGATTTCCCACTACCACCCCATAACAACCATCAGCTCAGGTAGCTAACATAGCACTCAGTTCTCATGAGGTAAGGACAGATGAAATCACATAAAGTAGGCAATATTCAAAAATAAAATTCTTTCATTACTGAACATGTAAAATCGGAACTACTTAATAGGTATGCTTCATCTCATCCTTGGATCTGAGGTAATTTTGATTTTCCATATAAACAGCTTCTGTATGGGAGTAGTTTGCCATATGCCACAGGAAATAGAGCTGAGAGTCTATAGCAAAAAAAACGTAGATATATTTTTAGCATCTTCAAGACTGTCTCCATTTTTGACTCACTTTGTTACACTTCCTTAGGGTGATTAAATGTCATCTGTTTTGCTTTTCTTTTTTTTCTTCTTCTCTACTGTGGTTTAGTGCCTGCCCAAGTGACTGGCTTGTATGTGGCCAACCAAGGGACAACCAGCAGTCTGTTTACTAACTGGACCCAGGCACTGGGAGACATAGAGTTCTACCAAGTCTTACTGATCCATGAAAACGTGGTCATCAAAAACGAAAGTGTCTCCAGTGAGACCAGCAGATACAGCTTCCACTCCCTCAAATCAGGCAGTCTCTACTCCGTGGTTGTAACAACAGTAAGCGGAGGAATCTCATCCCGACAAGTGGTGGTGGAGGGAAGGACAGGTAAGAGGACCCCATGGCAACTCAAGAGTATATTCTAGGATTTTTTTAAACATCCTGAAAACAGATCCATTTTTGACTCTCCCAAAAGCCAAGTTTCAATACCAACCATCCGGAAGGTGGTTACTCTTCTAGGAGTAACTCTTACAACTCCTTAGTAACTCGTAGAACTCTTAGAGGAGTTACTCTTAGTAACTGATATTACTCTTCTAGGAATGGAAATTGCAGGGTGGGTGAGGGTAAATGAGAATGAATTCTGAATTTTCTAAAATCTCCCATAAATGTGTCATAAAAACCTTTGCGGCAACATAATAGTCATTTCATGCCGAGGCTTATCCCCACATTCAGTTGATGATTTCCTTAATGTTCATGGCCCAGTTAAGATGAAGACAAGTAATGAGACTTCTTTTAAAAAAGTAAATTCCACTCCCTTTCATATTCCTTCAAGACGTAGAAAGGAAATGATCTCTAATGTCTGTGGTTCAAAGTTGAGTTAATAAAATTCCCAAATCACATATATTTTCATAAGCAGCATTAAACAAGTGCTTAATACTATATTAATACTATTAATACTAAACAATGTTCCCTGACCTTGAAGAGATCACAGTCAAATAGGGCAAAGAGCTATGTGGTCATGTGCATCAGACAGGGTTGGCACCAAAGAAGGAGATACAATTTTCTGCACAATACCAAGAAAGAATATAAATAGACAATATACAACTTATGTTCGCGTTTCTTAGAGAGAAAAAAAATTAAATGCATTCAATAGAAGCTTTGATAATTACTAATGAACTCAGAATCAGGTCAGTGACTTTACCTACTTAATTTTATATGATCATAAGTTGGATTTCAGGCTGCTTCTTCTAGATCTCTGATGCCTACATCTGAGTATCAGCTGTAGGCATCATCGATAGGTCCCTTTTCTAAAAATCATGAATCTCATCTACTTAATGAACCCAAAGAACATTAACTTCATTAACTCTCCCAGAAAAGCAACTAAGTCATTGAAAAGGTATTTCCTCGTTTTGGAAGAAATTCACTGATACATACCGTTTTTCTCATTTTCTCCTTCTGTGGTAGCTGATGTTATTACCCACGTCCTTCTTCCTGATACCTTCTTTCTCCTCTTTCAGTACTTCTTGGCACCAACCATTGGTGTAGCATAATTGGGGGTAGGGGACTGAAAAACTTAGCTTGGGAATCAGGAGGCCTAGAGTCTGGTTGTAGCTCTGCAATTAACTTATGTCTCAAAACCTCCATTTTCTAATCCATCCCTAGTAATATACACCAATTTACCCCTACTGGAGGAGGGAAGGAGAATTAAGAAAGCTGAGGTAAGGGTTGAGGAGAGGGTGTACCCATTTCCCAGTGAGTTGCAGTCATGTTAGTCAGATCAGACTGACTTATTTCCTGCTTACACAACTGTGCAACGTGGGGGTTCCTGATTAGATAGCTCTATTGGTTGGTTCTTTCCCAAGCAGTAGTTCAGAGATCCAGGCTCCTACCATCTGTGGCTCTTCCTTCCTCTAGGTCCTCAGAACTCTGTCCATTTCTCCAGAGAATAGAGGTTACAGGCAGGGGAAGATGATCGGACCTGGAAGTAGATACATCACTTCCCCCCACATTCCACTGGTGGGAACACAACTATATGGCTACATGTCATGCGGGGAAGGCCGGGACATATCTTCTAGTTCTGTGTCCAAGAGGAAAGAGAAGCACAACTAGTCAGATTCTGCCACATAAGTTAATTCCCATTTTAAAATACCTTAAGGGCTTTCTGACTTACTGTGATATACTAAAACAGTTTGGTGCCTTATACCACTTGGAATAAGTGGGGCCTATAGTTGTTTTTATGCCTAAATTTCAATTGTAGCAGAGATGTCAGTATTTGACCCACTGTATTTAACAGAAGTATGCAAAGCCAAGACAAAAAAATTCTGTAAAGAATGATCACAATGTTTTGAGGAAAGGGCAAAATGTGAATAAATATAAGCATGAATTATTTTATTCAAACACATTAAGAGTGCAGACATTATCATGGGAAAGGGGGAATATGGGATACCACTATAGAAACACAATAACTGGAGATTTTGAAATTTTCCTAGATTAGTAAATTTTGTATACAGTAGATTATAAAAAATTCAGTGGCTAAAGCCTGGATAGTCATTACCATCTATTCAAATTGCTGAAAGACCTGTCAGTGCTGAAATAATTGAAAGGTTTTGAAAGGTTTTCTCTTTCACTTATATTTCCACAGAGTTGAAACACATAAATAAACCTTCAGCCTAGACAAGGTGGCAAAATATTTAAAATTCAGGGGTGCCTGAGTGGCTTAGTTAAGTGGCAGACCGTTGATTTCAGCTCAAGTCACGATCTCACAGGTCGTGAGATCAAGCCCCACATTGGGCTCCGTGCTGACAGTGCATGCAGCCTGCTTCTGATTCTTTCTCTCCCTCTCTTTCTGTCCCTCTCCTGCTCACACTTGCTGTCTCTCAAAATAACTAAATAAACTTAAAAAAATTCTTAAAAACAATATTTAAAATGCAAGATATCGGATATGCTTAACAAATCTAATTCTAACCTGAGAAAATTCTTTTTCTAAAGGAAAAACAAATTTCATATCTGTTTTTCATAAACATGAATTTATATTTTTGACAAGATATCTGATAATTATATCTTTTCTAATAAAATGCCAGTAATTGCAAATATTTCTAGCAGTTTTAAAAAACAAGCATAATTCTTTTGAGAGCAACCAGGGGATGTACAGATTGTTACATTACGGTTAAGAAAGAAGGGAAGGAAGGAGGGATGAAGGAAGGGAGGGAGGGAGGGAGGAAGACATCAGTATATAAATGTGGCTAAAAAGTTCAACTTTATGTACAGGAAATGTTCATATACATGGAACAGCATTAGCAAAGTTGTTCGATACGGTGCTATGTATAATTTTCGGTGATGGGCAAGTGCTTGCACGTGTAAAGACAATTTTGGGGCTTAAGTCACAAAGTCAGAGCACATTAGATTATTAGAAGGATTCTCAGAGGTCATTTAGCTGGACCCTGTCCATTGTCCATGATGTACTGCTAGTGACAATTATACGAAAATGTTTAGCTAAAGTAGTGAACCAATGATGAAAACAGTAGTGCAGGTTGTATACACTACAGGATTTTATTCTGATATTCACTACTGGCAATACTATTTACTGTACACTTATTTCTGATACATGTACAATTACCACTCGATATCACAATGATTAATTTGCATACTGTGTCTAGCCAAGAAGCTCCTTGAAGGCATCCACATCTTTCCCATTTTTGTGTATGTGGCAAATAGAAGGTCCTCAATAAATGTTTGCAGCACTAAGCCCCAATTAAAATAAGCAAATGATGATGGCCGTTATCACCACAATAGCTTTTCTGCCCACAGGTGGGTCAACCTCCTGATTTGTTGCTTTCAGGATGCGCGTTTAGGTTTATTTCTTGCCACTAGAGGGCAGGAAATGCTTTATAAAGGGAAGATGCAACCCCTTTGGTCGTGTTAGTTATTAGACTCCCCAGGAATAAATAATTTCATCACAAGAAAATCAAAACTATCCCAAAGTCTAAGCTCTTTAGAAAAGTTGTGACCACCTTCACCTTTCCCTTCAAACATCTTTGCTTATTGATGGGTTTGGTTTGAGCTGATTGGATTCAGCAGTTTGGATTTTTAATGTTTTTTCCTTTTCCTACAGAGGGAACCTCCTGACATATTCACCTAAAAATGCCTCCACTTAAAATACCTTACAAACAACACCATAAAAATACAGTAGCGGCATCCATATATTTATAAGGCACCCAAAAGACCTCCTTGCATTTTTATTTGGGCTAGCCTTGCTGATAGAAGAACACTCAGCTTCCAGAAGCTAACGTGAAATGCCCACACATCTTTGACCTCGTAGGTAATCAGTTGAGATCTCCTGAGTCCACACTGTATTTTGCTGGCCGTCGTAGATGACTCCAGACTTTTGACTGTGCTTGCTTTTTAAATTTTCTCCCCCCACTTTTTAAACCCCAGTCCCATCCAGTGTGAGTGGAGTGACGGTGAACAATTCTGGTCGGAACGACTACCTGAGCATCTCCTGGCTGCCGGCTCCCGGAGATGTAGATAACTATGTGGTGACCCTCTCTCATGGCAGCAGGGTAATTCAGTCCCTCATCATTGCCAAGTCTGTCAGCGAATGTTCCTTCAGCTCCCTTACTCCAGGCCGCCTCTACAATGTGACCATAACTACAAGGAGTGGCAAGTATGAAAACCATTCCTTCGGCCAGGAGCGAACAGGTAAGGCTGTATATACGGAGATCCAGGTTCTGTGAGAACTGCCTGGCTATGTGTGGCTCAGGGCAACAGATCTGCAACCGTTCTGTAATGATCGGATTAAAGCCTTTGTGAGATCACAGAATTGTGACAGAGTCTTCAAATTCTGACCCTGGAAATTCCTTATGTGAGCAGATGTTTCCTTTAAAGTAAGATGAACCCTATGGTTGTGGCTAGAATTCGTATTATATGCAAATATAGTAACAAGTGTTTTCTGGGAGTACTTTTCGGTTGCTAGACACTGGCTATGTTAACTAACTTAATTCTTGCAAATTCCTGATTGAGGTCGTTGTTAGTATTCCCACTTTACAGATCAGGAAATCAAGCTTCAGAAAGGTTAAATAACCTACTTGCTCCACTGTTTAACTTGTGAAACAGCCAGTGCCTTTCTGTATTTAACCCCAGTTCTGAATGGCTCCAGAGCCTACAAAGTTATCTGTCCTGAAATCCTTTCTGAAATGCCTATTTGGTCAAAGTCTACTGTTCACTCTTTTTCACACAAGGTGAAGATGTGAACTTTCATAGTCCTGGGACCAGGAGCACAATCTTAGCAAAAGCAATGAATGCCAGGTCTTCGATGTGATGGAAAGAACTAAATTTAGACAGCTACCATTTTCCCAACGTACTTATGCTTTTGGGGGGCTTACATCTGAGATTTCTGCTTAAGGTTGACATTAATATTTTGTCAGATCTTTCCTGCTAAGCTCTGGGTTGATATTTGCATTTAAAAATGCCAGGGTTTTGGAACACGGGGATGGCTCAGTTGGTTAAGTACCCAACTTCAGCTCAGGTCATGACGTCCTGGTTTGTGAATTCAAGCCCAGTGTCAGGCTCTTTGCTGACAGCTCAGTAGAGCCCACTTCGGATTCTGTGTCTCCTTCTCTCTCTGCCCCTCCCCTGCTTGCCCCCCGCCTCAAAAATAAAAACAAACATTAAAAGTTTTTAAAAACTTGTTTAATTTAAAAATGTCAGGGGTTTTTGGCAAGAGAGTCAAGAATATTCAATGTAGAAAAGACAGTCTCTTTAATAAACATACAGAGATAATTGGATATGCACGTGTAAAAGAATGAAACTGGACCCATATCTTACACCACTGACAAAAATTAACTCAAAATGTATGAAAGACTTAAATGCAAAACCTTAAAATATAAAACTCCTAGAAGAAAACACAAGAAGAAAGCTTTTTGACATGGGTCTTGGTGGTGATTTTTTGCATATGACATAAAAAGCACAAGCAACAAAATAAAAAATGAACAAGTGGGACTACGTCAAACTAAAAGATTCTGCACAGCAAAAGAAGCCATCAACAAAGTGAAAAAACAACCTATGGAATGGGAGAAAATATTTGCAAACCATATCTGATACGGGGTTAATATCAAATTCATCATTAATATTCCAAATAGAAATAACTTATACAACTCAATAGCAAAAAAGTAAATAACTCTATTTAAAAATGGGCAAAGGACCTGAACAGTCATTTCTCCAAAAAAGATATACAAAGGCCAACATATACATGAAAAGATGGTTAACATCACTAGTCACCAGGGAGATGCAAATTAAAGCCACAATGCAATATTACCTCTGGCCATCATTAAAAGACAAGAGATAAATGCAGTCATGGACATGGAGAAAAGGGATCCCTTGTGCACTGTTGGGAGTATAAATTGATAACAGCTACAATGGAAAATAGTATGGAAGATCCTCAAAATTTAAGAACGACCACATGATCCAACCATTCCTCTTGGGGGAATATATCCAAAGGAAACAAAATCACTAGCTCAAAAAGGTATCTGCACCCTTGTGTTCGTAGCAGCATTATATACAGTAGCCAAAACATGGAAACAATCTAAGTGTCCATCAATGGATGAATGGATAAAGAAGTTGTGGTATATCTATACAATGGAATAGTGTTCAGCCATAAAAATGAAGAAATCTTACCATTTGCAGCAACATGGATGGACCTTGAAAGCATTGTGCTAAGTGAAATAAGTCAGAAAGAGAAAGACAAATACTCTATGACCTAACTTATATGTAGAATCTAAAACTAAAGCAAAAACAAACTCAGAGAAAAAGGGATCAGACTTATGCTTAACAGGGGCAGACGGTGGGGGAAGGGAGAATTAGAGGAAGATGGCCCAAAGGTACAAACTTGCAGTTATAAAATAAATAAGTACCAGTGATGTAAAGTACCCCATGAATGACTGTGACTACTGTATGATCTATAGGAAAATTGTTAAGAGATTAAATCATAAGAGTTTTCATCATAAGGAGAAAATTTTTCTCCTTTTTTCTTTTCTTCTTTCTTTTCTTTTTATTGTATCTGTAGGAGAGATTGGATGTTAGCTGAACCAACTGTGGTAATCATTTCATAGTATTTATAAATGAAACCATCATGTTATATGCCTTAAATTTATACAGTGATATATATCAGTTATTTCTCAATAAAACTGGAAAAAAATAATAACAAAAAAGAAATTAGAAGAATATACTGTAAAAAAAAAAAAAATGAATTTGTCAGGTTTCCAAAACCAAAGTGTATTCACATTCACCGAAACCGAAAATTTCAAAATCACTTTTGATACATTAGCCTTTGCTAGGATCTGCTATTGACCTCTCACAAAAGTTTTCACTGGTATATCTTTATTTTGCTTTTCTTGCCAACAGCATGAACATAGAGCATTACTACTTAAAGTTACAATGGTTCTCCTCCCTTGCTCCTCTGTCCACTTAACTCCATCATGCTGTGCCATGTGTCCCTCTCAGTTCTTATTAGTTCTTTCTAGGAGAAATTTAGCATTCATTGCAGTGTTTTGCATCTCTCCGTCTGTGATTGCCTTTATGTCTGGAACCGTATCTTTTTTTGCGTGTTTTTTTTCAAAACCTGGCTTATATAAGAACTTATAATTTTATTGCTGTTGATGAACGCAAGAATTAGCCAATCATCTTCTGGACTCAAAGACCTTACAAAAATCTAAAACTATGAAAAAAAAATTCATTTTTTTCACAAGGATCAGGACAACTGATTTCATCCTGTTACCTAGCAAAGGGTCTGGAGCCTCATAGACACTCAATAAATGTTCAATAAATTAACAATCAGAAATCACTTAGCTCTAGCTAGTTTTTAGTGCCCTGTGGGTAGAGGTTAGGAATGTCATAACCCCTGAAACTGTCTATGAAATCGTTGTAGATAGGAAAAGTATGTGTATTTCTTTGAGGAGAGAGTGTGTGATTTTCGAAGTTTCTGTGACCTCAAAAAGGTTAAGAACCACTGATTTACATTGCTACAGGATGCTAACATTGAAAGTGTCCATAGATTGATCTAATCCCGTCTCATTTGGTGATAAAGTCCAGGAGGGAAAGTCACATTGCTAACCAGTAATCAAGTTCAACCTAGCTCCAAGCGCTATTTCCATTACATAGTGCTATCCCTGAAAGCCCTGGTTGGGGATATAAAGAGCTATGCCCTACCGTCGAATGATTTAAAGCCTAATTATAGTGATAAAATCACAATAATGACTGAGATGTGAAAAGTAGATTTCCATTTATGAAGCAGCCTTATGTCAGTGTCTTATGTTGATCAGCTTGGAGCCTAAAAATCACCAGAGTTAAAGGATGTATCATCCAACTACTAACCCCTTGCTTCCCCTCTCTGTCGACTCATGAACGTTTCCTATCCATCTGATCTTCATACTGCAAGCCTTTTGCTAAGATTGTTTTTAAATGCAAAAAAAAAAAAAAGTGACCCTTTATTCAAAGCACCTGCTTGACTCTTTAAACCAGCATGAACTTGGATTTGATGCAATGAGTCAATCAAGGCAAGCCATTGCCCCCCAACAAATCAGTTTAACATAGAGTCACGTCCGAGTTGCTGTCTTGTTGATTTTGGCTGATTGTGTCAAAGCCCTTTTCCTTTTCTAATGCTTTTGTTCTACATTTTGGGTAAAAATATCAATATTTCTAATTCTGCATCACATCATCTCATCGTGCAGCAAGGCAAGTCTCACAGATTACCTCCAATTCCACCTGGAAAGCCCCTTATTGACTTAGCATGGTGTGTAACCTGGTTTTTCTTCCTGTAATAGTTGCTTTGTCTTCAATAAATTGCCTGGGTCATTGACTTTTCTTACTTAGCCCATGTGCATAAAAACTTCCAAATTTCTTTTCCTTTATTCTATGATGAATAAATTCTAGGTACACTGTAATTGGTTTGGGTAAATATCTTGAAGAAAGCATACCTGTCCTGGCTCCATATCTGCAGTGAGATATATTCTTTTTTTTTTTAATTTATTTTTTTGCAGAGAGATATATTCTAATACAAAAACTAACCACTACACACATGCCAACAAAATATAATAAAATGCAACGGTAGGTGTGAGAAACATCATGGAAAATGTGGCTTAGAAGCCAAAATATTGAAATTTCTGGGTCATTTCGTGCTTCAAAGGAAAGTGGAAGAGAAGGTTTAGACACAGGCTTTGTCCAATTGATTGATAAATTGATAGACTGGTTGAGAGAAAACCACAAGTACACATTGTTTGTTTCTTTGTATATTTATTGGGGGTAACCTCAGGTGCACAAAATTGGGTTAATCTTAATTCTTGGTTCAGGAAACCATGTTTTGTCACTTTTATTTATTTTTTAGGCTTCTAATTTAATTCAGGTATTTAATTAGTCATTTTTAATAATGTAATACACACAAGAAACCACTACCTATAATAAAAGCTAGAACCTTGACAATAACCTATATCAAGTCATATGGTTCCCACCTCACTGATTCATCCAAAGGTAGCCCATCATCTTAACTCCCATTTTCATCTGTCTTCTTTCCTTCCATTTTGCACAGTTTTATTTATGTAGTCCTAAAATTATGGGTTAAAACACTTTGGATCTCACATTATTATTTTTTTTAATGTTTTATTTATTTTTGAGACAGAGAGAGACAGAGCATAAGCAGGGGAGGGGCAGAGAGAGAGGGAGACACAGAATCCAAAGCAGGCTCCAGGCTCTGAGCTGTCAGCACGGAGCCTGTCACGGGGCTCGAACTCACAAACTGCGAGATCATGACCTGAGCCGAAGTCGGACACTTAACCGACTGAGCCACCAAGGCGCCCCTAACATTATTTTTAAAAAGGTTATTTTAGGGCTACCTTGGTGGCGCAGTCAGTTAAGCATCCGACTCTTGATCTCAGCTCATGTCTTGATTTCACAGTTTGTGGGATTGAACCCCGAATGGGACTCTGCGCTGACAGGGCAGAGCCTGCTTAGGATTCTCTCTCTCCTTCTCTCTCTGCCCCTCCTTTGCTCATGCTCTCTCTCTCTCTCTCAAAATCAAAATAAAATAAAATAAAATAAAAGGTTATTTTATGCAGTATGTAATCTCTTGGGACTTATATTATATTGATAACATTCACTTATATTTTGTGTTTTGATGTTAAAGGCACAAAAATCCATATTTTTACATTTTGAGTTAGAAAGTAATTAGTTATGACTGTTATATAATGTCAGTGTGTATATATACCAGTGCATTCATCCACTCTCCTGTGGTTGAGGATCCTCTCTCATCCCAGGTCCTATTGGGTTTTTAAATTTTGCCATAAAATTATAGGGTATTTTGCCATGGGCTTGATTTGATCACCAGTGATGTTAGACATCTCTTCATGTATTAATTATGTGTTTCCTCTCCTTCCATTTTTCTTTTGGATTATTTGTATTCTTCTTTGTAACTTTTTATTACATCTTGAGTCAACAGGTATGTTAGAATTATTAATATCACCATCAATTCATATTAATCATCAGTTATCATTTTTAATGTTCAGTCTTGTACCTGACATTTTGTGTAGGCCAGACACATTGTGTAGTGTAACAGTCTTTCCCCTCTGGAAACGTGTGATCTGAAGGTCTAAAACTTTTGTTTTCAATGCCCACAATAAAAATCTACTCACTTACCTTTACTGTTTCAGGTTGTCATCTGTGATCAATTACTCACTTAGAATCACTATATCTTTAGTACTTCTCTGTTCTCTTTTTCAGTGCCTGACAAGGTCCAGGGAGTCAGTGTTAGCAACTCAGCCAGGAGTGACTATTTAAAGGTATCCTGGCTACATGCTACTGGAGATTTTGATCACTATGAAGTCACCATTAAAAACAAAAACAACTTCATTCAAACCAAAAGCATTCCCAAGGCTGAAAACGAGTGTGTATTTGTTAAGTTAGTCCCTGGACGGTTGTACAGTGTTACTGTTAGTACAAGAAGTGGACAATATGAAGCCAGTGAACAAGGGAATGGAAGAACAAGTAAGTGGAAAGATCGCAAAATCTGGTAGCTGGTTGGGACTTGAAGGTCATCGAGTCAATAAAATATATGAGCCTTGCATTTTCTCTGCTTACTGATCAGTAAATTACATTCCCAGTAAGTCTTACTTGGAGCTAACAGCATTCGGCCAAGCGATGGCCTATGATTACAGAATATTTATTGGTAGATAAAAGCAAGCATAGTCGGGAAGCAAGAAGGCCAAATGTCCCATTTCTCTTCCTTGTCCTCTTGCGTTGTGGCATTTAAAGTTCTAGACATCTTTTTTTATCTTATGATTGAGGTCATAATTCATTTTATAATTATGTTCTACCAACATTTACATATAAGATTTATGTCAGGAAAAAAATTATAATTTTAATAGTTGCTTCCAATTTTTTTATTTAATTTAATTATGCATGAAGTAATTCAAGTGGTTTATTTGGGGAAGAGATGTTTGCCAGTTCCTTGAATGTGATTCATAAATTATTGTGTAGGTAAACTTTAATCAGTCACATTCCTGAAGTGTCTTCTCTATTCCTCTCTAGTCCCAGAGCCCGTTAGGGATCTAACATTGCGGAATAGGAGCACTGAGGACCTTCTGGTGACTTGGTCACGAGCTGACGGGGATGTTGATCAATATGAGATCCAACTGCTGTTCAATGATATGAAAGTATTTCCACCTTTTCACCTTGTAAATACTGCAACTGAGTATCGATTCACCTCCCTGACCCCAGGGCGCCAGTATAAAATCCTTGTCTTGACCATCAGTGGAGATGTACAGCAGTCAGCCTTCACTGAGGGCTTCACAGGTAATTTCAGATGTGGCTCTTGAACCTGAGTAGTTGTGGTGGTGTATTTAGCATGTTGGGTAGCCAGGCATTTGGGATGAGGATTTTAGGGTAAGAAGGAGATGGCAAGAAGTGAGGTTATCTTCATGGTGACAACGATGCTGTCCAATCTGGATTAACTAAAGTACAACACAGGATAAAACGAAAAAAGGCTTTCAGAGAAACAGCAAATAGCATTGGATTTATGTGAATAGCTGGTGCTTGTAAGGCATATAAATTAAAAAAAAAAAAACAACAACTCTGTTGGTTGGGTATCCTTTCTTTGGAACTTTGTTAGGAGTGTTGTTATGATAGTTGACATTTATTGACAGTTTACCTTGAGCCACAGTAAAGAACTTAACATGTACATTTTTGTTCAATCCTTACAACTCTGTGGGCTGGTTACAATTAACTAACTTTGCCATTTTTCTGACGAAGAAACTGAGACTTACAGAGGGTTAAGTAACTTGCCTACAGTCCCACAGCTAGTAAATGAGAAAACCAAGACCTGAACCAAGGCAATGTTACTAACCCCTCGCTCTACTACTGGCATTCTTCATTTCTACTCACTGGTTTCCATGTCCCCCTAAACTTCCCCTATCGCTTCAATTCAGGCAGAAAAATCCAAGCAAGTTCTTTTAGTAAGTGCCAAAATATAAGAAGCATGAAAATTTTGGCTGAAAATTTCCACAGTTCATTCTCTAAGTGATGACTTTTAAATTTATTTTCCTTTTTAGTTCCAAGCACTGTCAAAAATATTCACATTTCTTCCAATGGGGCGACAGACAGCCTGACAGTCAACTGGACTCCTGGTGGGGGCGATGTTGATTCTTACACCGTGTCAGCGTTCAGACAGAATCAAAAGGTTGAGTCTCAGACTATCTCCAAGCACGTCTCTGAGCACACATTCCATAGACTGGTGGCAGGGGAACAGTACCAGATTGTGATTGCCTCGGTCAGTGGGTCCCTAAGGAACCAGATAGACGCCGTTGGGCGGACAGGTGAGTGCCCGCTTGGAAAAAAGCCAAATTTTATCCATAATGGGACAACAGATGGACTTACTTAGCTATTCACAAATCAAAACTAACCAAATTCAAAGCTACAATTGAATGTGGTTTCAAGAGTCTTTCTCATACTTTTTTTTTTTTTTTGCATTTTTCTTTCTTAATAGAGATCTTCAAAACAAATGAAAGGTAATTAGGAACCAAATCATTTGAATACATTTGCTTATGTGCTAAAGGATATAAAAACTTTAATTTTAACAAGTAGACACTTAGAACTATTTACATTAACTACCTATAAATATTTACCCTTTTCTGTAAAGTTTACCCCTTTCTCAAAATTATTTTTTTAAATGAACACCTATGCCATTTACTTCATTTGTTACAAGAACAAGTAGCAAATGAAGGAATAATGTGCCTATTTATATTAATATTACTGTTAATATATTACTTATAAAACAAAAATAAGCTATAAGCACCTGCTATATGCCAGGCATTTAAAATTATCTCGAGTCACACTAGAAGATAGGGATCATTATTTTCATCTTACAGATGAAAATAGGGGGGCGCCTGGGTGGCGCAGTCGGTTAAGCGTCCGACTTCAGCCAGGTCACGATCTCGCGGTCCGTGAGTTCGAGCCCCGCGTCGGGCTCTGGTCTGATGACTCGGAGCCTGGAGCCTGTTTCCGATTCTGTGTCTCCCTCTCTCTCTGCCCCTCCCCCGTTCATGCTCTGTCTCTCTCTGTCCCAAAAATAAATAAACGTTGAAAAAAAAATTTAAAAAAAAAAGAAAATAGGGCTCATAAAGTTTATAAAACATTATCAAGTATATAACTAATAAGACCAAGAGCTATAATTCAAATCTAAGTCTGTCTGGCTCCAAACCTTATACCCTCTATACTGGGATACAATACATCTTCCATTCTCATAAAACCACTTGTTTAGCTGTGGGGCCTGGGCTTCTGTACTGTGCCCTACTATGTCTCTATTTCATATATGTATATCTCCAACCATATGTTAAACACTATGCTAGAAAATGGGAATTCTGTAGCAAGATAGAGCCCCAACCTCAAGAAGCTTATGATCTAGTGAAGGAGACAGAGAAATAAAAAGGCAATTACAGCATAAGTTCTAAAATAAAAATCATAATGAGGTGTGTTAAGAGCAAACATGAAGAGTCAGAGAAGGCTTCCAGGAAAAGGTAACATCTAAATAGACACTAAGAGTCATACTGGTGACACATATATTAACTTGGTTCCAGCAGAAAAAAAACAAAGGCCTGAAGGTGAGAGAAAGTATGGCACATTTAAGGACCTACACACTGTGTGGTATGCTAGATTAAAGATGAACCATGTGGCCAAGTAAGTAGATGGACCAAATTTTGAAGGGCCTTGTGTGCCTTGTTAAGATGTTTAGAATTATGGAGAGCCATTGAAGGGCCATCCACATGGGGGTGCTGTGAGAATATGTCACACATAGTGTGGGAGGCGAGGAAGCAAGGGGACTGATCACTAATGTGAGGGATGATGTTGTCCTAGGGGAGTAGTAGTGGATAGAAAAGGGAGAGAAGTGGATAGATGAAAGAGATATAAGATTTAGGACTTAGAAATTACAAGACCCATGTTTGATTATATATGTAGAAGGATCAGAGTGACAACCCACATTTCCGGCTTGGACCAAGAGAAACAAAGGACAAGAAAGAGGTTATGAGGAGGGAGCTGAGGAGTCCAATTTGGGCCTCATGAGAATTGGATGGAACATGCAGGGAGAGATGTCATTTGCAAAAATAGAAGAGAGATCTGAACTGCAAGTTTAAATTTGGGAGTCGTCACCATATGGGTAACAATTCAAACCATGGGAGTGGATGAGATCTCTTAAGATTATGTAGAACGAGAAAAAAAAAATATGAGCCTAGGACAGAAAATATTATTCAAAATAATACTATTTTGCCTTTCACATCAGGAGCCATAGTAAAAAAAAAAAAAAATCATTATATGCTACTGCTTAGGTGAAGGCTCAGAGCTTTGACTTGAGTTAATCTTGGGAATGAAAGTCTAAACATAATTCAGCCGTCCAAACTATATTCACTGAATGTAAATGTGTTCAGCATCTTCCACTTTCTAGATACATAAATATGAATCACTGCATATTTATCAGTGTCACGTTCACTAATTTTTCTACTTGTTTGACTTCAAGATCCTGTCTTAATTCAGCGAAAAGAATGGAGACCCAAAGCAGGTGTACAGATAATTCAGGCCAAGAAGTGCTCTCTCCTGAGGGCACACACAGGGAGTGTAGGTGCAACACAAGTGAACTGGTAGCATCGTCTTCTACCCACAGTTGATTTAGGACAGTTTTTCTCCATTGGTTTCTCAGCCGGTTTACCCTAAGTGAGGGAACCTGACGGCCATTGCTTCTCTTCTTTCTTTGCAGTTCCAGCATCTGTCCAGGGAATAGTTGCAAACAACGCATACAGCAGTCATTCCTTAACCGTAAGTTGGCAAAAGGCTGTTGGTGTGGCAGAAAGATACGAGATCCTGCTTCTAAGTGAAAATGGGATCCTTCTGAGTAACACGTCAGAGCCAGCCTCCACCACGCAGCACAAATTTGAAGACCTAACACCGGGAACAAAGTACAAGATTCAGATCTTAACTGTCAGTGGAGGTCTCTTCAGCAAAGAAGCCCAAACTGAAGGCCGAACAGGTAATCCGCATGGCTTGTTTCATACCAGATCTCTCCCTGTGTGCTATTCCTTCAGAACCGAAGGGTCGGAGAGATGAAGCAACACAGGAAGATGATGTCTGTTTCTTGACACAGTGGGAACATTCACCATGATTTACCACTTCCCTGTCAGCCAGCCTCTCTGCACAGGTTTCAGCCTACCCCACGCCAGTTCAGATATAGTGTTAAAACCTACTGCCGCTGCAATAAGTTACCGCCAACTTGGCGGCTTAAAGCAACACAGATTTTTTATCTTGTAGCTCTGGGGGTCACAAACTGAAAGTGGGTCCAATGGGGCTAAAATTAAGGCATCGGGTATCAGCAGGGCTGTGTTTCTCCTGGAGACTTTAGGGGAGAAGCTCTCCTTGGCCTCTTCAGCTTCTAGAGGCCACTCAGATTCCCTGGCTCATGTCCTCCTTCCAACAATGGCATTGTTCCAACCTTGGTGTATGTCACCATATCTCTTTCTTTACTCTTCTGCGTCCCTCCTCCATATTTTAAGGACTCTTGTGAGTCACCACCTGGACAATCCAAGATAAGCTCCCTGCCTCACGATGTTTAACTTAATCACAGGTATACAGTCCTCTTTGCCACATAAGATAACATGTTCACAGGTTCTGGTGATTTGGACATGGACATCTTGGGGGGTCATTATTCAGACAACAACACTGGTCTAATTGATTACTTATGAAGGAGCTAGATATGAAAGGGGGGGGTGATGCTGACAGAGATGAAAAGATGAATTAAGCATGCTTTGTCCCGGAAGAGCTGGCTGACTGGTGGGATAGACAGACACATAGACAAAGGATGACAATACTTTGTGATATTTGTGATGACAATACTTGTGATAAGGATTATATAGAAGAAAGGAATGTCCAATACCAAGAGGAGCATGGAGGACAGGTAGAATTGGGAGGTCCTCGTAAAACTGACGTTTCAGTACTGTCATGAAGGATGAAACAATTCTGCGTGTGGAGAGAAGGTAAAAGGACACCATGTACAGACAGACTGTCCTGTGCCAAGACAGGGAGGTGTGAGAAGGAGCAGTGAGAAGCAATGGATGGATGAAGTGTGGGTGGCATGATAGAGAGGTGAGGCTGGAAAGGCAGATTGGGGCCAGATTAGAGAGCGCCTGGCACGTCTTCCTCAGGGGGTTATTTTTCATCTTATAAGCAGTGAGGAGACAATACAGGTTTTTCAGCCAGACAGTGAGCGCTTTGTAATAAAAATTTGTACCTTAAAGAAGATAAATCAGATGGCAATCAGGGATAGATAGGTTGAATGGAGAAGAGACTCATTCATTGATTCATTTATCATTGAGCACCAACTATGTGCTAGGCACCTTTCTAAATGCTGGCTACCCAGAAGTGAGTAAAATGAAGCCTGGTGGTCATGAAGCTTACATGCTAGTAGAAAAGAAAGGCAGTAAACAAAATAAATAAGTAAAAAATATAGTAGATTAGATGGTGGTGAATCCCAAAAAGTAAAACAGGAAAGTGGGATTAACGAGTGTTAGAGGCTTGCAATTTAAAAATTTTTTAATGTCTATTTATTTTTGAGAGAGATAGAGACAGAGTGTGTGTGCGAGCAGGGGAGAGGCAGAGAGAGGGAGGGAGACACAGAATCCAAAGCAGGCTCCAGGCTGTGAGCTGTCAGCACAGAGCCTGACGTAGGGCTCGAACCCACAAACCCCGAGATCATGACCTGAGCCGGAGTCTGACGCTTAACCAACTGAGCCACCCAGGTGCCCCGAGGCTTACAATTTTAGATAGCACAGTCCTCACAGGTTTTGTTGAGAAGGTGATATTTGAATAAAAGTCTGAAAGAAATGAGAAAAAGGGTTATGCAGGCGTTTGGGGGAAGAATATCCCTAAGCAGAGCAAAGAGCTAAGGCAAAGATCCTGAAGCAGGAGTGTGTCTGGCCTGTTGGACCAGTAAAGAGGCCAGAATAGTTGGAGCGGAGTGAGTGAGAACAAAGTGGGGTGATGTGGCCGAAAGGTAACTGGGGTCATAAGATGACTGCAGTTATAGAAATGATAAGGGTCAAAAGCTGAACTAACACAGGGGCCCTGGTGAAGAAAAGTAGATACAGTCAAAAAATAACTTCTTAATTAGATAAGATGGCCACTTGGTGTCTGAGTAGAGTACAGGAGGAGGAACAGAAAATTCCAGAATTTCTACCGGGGGTATCTGGAAGAAGATGATGCCATTAATTGAGATAAGAGGAACGGGGGAGCAGTGTCAAGGAGAAAGAGACAGGATTCAGTTTTGTACTGAGTTTGAAATGTCTGAATGGCTTGCAGTGAGAGATGATCATCGGTAATAGAAAATATGGCCCAAGCTCAGAAAAGTGAGCTGGAGATAAATATTTGGACCAAAATTCTAATTAAATACATGCCTTAGTCTGTTCAGACTGCTATAACAAAAATACCACAAATTGGGTGGCTTAAACCACAAACATGTATTTCTCACAATTCTCAAGGCTGGAAGTCCAAGATCAAGGCACCCGCAGATTTGATGTGTGGTAGGGTCCCATTTTCTGGTTCATAGATGGCATTTTCTTGTTGTGTCCTCACATGGTAGAAGGATGAGAGAGCTCTCTGGGGTCTCTTTTATAAGGGCACTGATCCCATTCATGAGGACTCCACTCTCATGACCTAATCACCTCCCAATAACTGCAGCCCCTGGTACCATCACTTTGGCGGTTAGGTTCCAACATAAGAATTTGAGGTGGAGGGGACGTAAACATTTAGTCATAGCAATCCATGAAGTGAATGAGGTTGGTTGTTTAGCCAGTGTTATGGAGTAGGAAGGGGACAGAGGATGGAATGATGGGAAACATCAACTTTCAGGGATCTGGCACAGGGAGAGGGAGAACATAAAAGAGGAAGTGTTTAGACTGGAGGGAGAAGAACCCAGAAGAGACTGAGGCAGGCGTCCTGTTTCCACTGGCATCCGTGGAATTAGGCAGCACCTGTGCGAACAGTTTGGAAGCAGGTCATTTCTGGTGGCTCTTGATCATTTTGCCAACAGGTACCACTGAAGACCGAAAGGGTCGTAAAATCCCAATGTAAATAATCTTTAAGACTGCTTTTTTAAGTTTATTTTTTTATTTTGAGAGAGAGAGAGAGAGCCTGCCAGTGCAGAGCCCCGTGCGGGACTCGATCCCATGAACCGTGAGGTCATGACCTAAGCCGGATGCTTAATAACTGAGCCATCCAGGTGCCCCATTACTATTTTTTTTTTTTAATAATTTTTTTTTCAACGTTTATTTATTTTTTGGGGGACAGAGAGAGACAGAGCATGAACGGGGGAGGGGCAGAGAGAGAGGGAGACACAGAATCGGAAACAGGCTCCAGGCTCCGAGCCATCAGCCCAGAGCCTGACGCGGGGCTCGAACTCACGGACCACGAGATCGTGACCTGGCTGAAGTCGGATGCTTAACCGACTGCGCCACCCAGGCGCCCCTACCCCATTACTATTTGTTTAATGGTTTTGGCTTTTCCTCTTGCATCCCTTTCCCATATCCCCGACTCAAATCTCCTCCTTCTGTCTGCTTTTCTCTTTCTTTCCCACTTCTCTTCCCTCCCCGCTGCCCTTACTTCCGTTTGCCATTCCTTAGCTTTCAAATGGCATTCAGAGATACTTTTTTATTTCTTATCTAGCTCTTATTATTAGAAAAGCATTTAGCCCTGGGGCACCCGGATGGCTCAGTTGGGCATCCTACTCTTAGTTTCAGCTCAGGTCATGATCCCAGGATTGTAGGATTGAGCCCCACGTAGATTATCTCTCCCTCTCTTTCTGCCCCTCTCTCCTATTCATGCTCTCTCTCTCTCTCTCTCTCTTTCTCTCTCTCTCTCTCAAATAAAATTTAAAAAGAAAGAAAGAAAAACATTTAGTCACACAGGTCAGATTAACATTTATTTTATATCCAAAAAACATATTTGTAGATAATTTCCCAGTTACTGGTTTTTCTTTGTTCTCTTGTGCTTTTGTTTTGTCGTCGTCGTTGTTGTTGTTGTTTTAATTGACAGTTGCAACATCAGTAATGCACAAAATTCAGTCTTCTTAGTTTTGGGGTCCCCATGAAGTCAATATTTTCTGAAGGCCAAGACCATGTGTTTTAAGCTGCTGTGGAGTGTATCCACCTGGGCATCAGGCCTGGGCTGTGTCAAGGGGGTACTAAAACTCGGTCTCACCCTCTCGCTCAACTTTTCCAGTCCCAGCAGCTGTCACCAATCTGAGGATCGTAGAGAACTCCACCAGACACCTGACCTTAAGCTGGACCACCTCAGAAGGGGAACTCAACGGGTACAACATCTTTCTGTATAACCCAGATGGAACGCTTCAGGAGAGAGCTCAAGTCAACCCACGAATCCAGAGTATCTCTTTCCAGAACCTGCTGCAAGGCCGAATGTACAAAATGGTGATAGTAACTCACAGTGGGGAGCTGTCTAATGAGTCTTTCATATTCGGTAGAACAGGTAAGGCCCGGACCCAAGCAGGAATGTATTATGGGGAAATTGTCTCAGTATTCACTGGCTTTTCCTTGTTTTGTCCTTAGTTCCCTCTTCCAGCCATGGTCTAGCTTTATATGAACTTTGTGACCTTCGGGCTTTTTTATCCGAAATCAGGCATTTGATTACATATCAGAATTGCCTTTGCACTGGCTTCTGCTCTGTTGCCACCCCTCGTTGACCTCGTAGGGTTTGGTGGAAAAATGATTCTGGCCTCTCTGTTTGCCGCCAAACTGCCACAAGAGGGTTGTAACCCACTGTGGTTTGATTCAAGCTGTGCCCTTCAGCTTTCTGCAGGACACGCGTAGAGTGGAGGGCAGGTCCGGAGAAGGGCCAACTACAAAAAGGACCAAGCAATGTCCACTGTGAGACAGAAACACGGCACTGGATGAAATGCACACAAAGCATTGCAGGAAAAGGAGAGAAAGAGACATCTCTCTGGGCTGCAAATAAGAAACTGAATCCACTCGTTTTCCATAATTTGAGGCCATTATTTTATTTTCCCGTTCAGTTTTTTTTTTTTTTTTTTTTTTTTTCTCATCTGACAATAGTTTTTGAGTGCTTTGTATGCCGGGCACAGGGCTCACTGCTGGAATCTAACTGTGAACAGCACAGATGAGGCCCCTGACTACAGAGCTCTCATTGGCAGAGAGGGAGCAGGGCCAGACAGCAGATTTTTAAGGGACATGACTTGGGAATGCCTTGAAGTCTGTGAAGGAAATAAACAGTATGTTGTGACAGAGTGACTTGGCAGGACAAGAAACGACTATAGACAGAGAAAGCATTTCAGGTGAGCCTTGTAGGTGAGGGAAGTGTACCCCAGGCACCCAACAGAAGTTCTCAGCGTGTTTTTGGAAGGGAATGAAATGAGCAACAGATATGGATACACCTAGACCCTGACTAGAATTGCCTCGATGTTACCGTTTCTAGGACAATCTGCCCTCTGCGCATCTTCCCTTATGTGCTCATTAATGTCTAAAGTTCCTCCATCAAGAGACAGCAGTCTTCACTCCCAGAGAATAACGAAGCTTAAATACCCACGGGACAGGTGCCAGTGTGACTAAGTTACATAGTGGTAGACGTGACTGTTAACACCCTTTTCCCAAGTGAGGATCTACCAATATAGATTTGGGTAGGAAAACGAATGAGGGAACTGAGAACCTACAAGAGAGCGGAGAGGAAGCAGAGAGACCCAGGGGAGGATGTTATGGGATAAGGGGCCTGGGTGTGATGGGCCAGCCTGGAAAGGGCTGGCACCTTTTGTGAATATATTCAAAGCCGTTCATAAGATAAGTTATGAACTGTTTGACGAGTTTTAATTAATCATTTCTGAAGATTTCATTTCAGACGTTTATCAGGCTATGTGTGGTGAGCATATGGAAGCCACCACCTGTGCTGGTTTGTTTTTATTTTCATTTGTACCACATCTCTAGACCACATGCCCCTCTACGTAAGTGCCCTGAAATGCAGGCAAGATCTGACTCTGCAATGGGTACCACTCACCCATATGCCCAACATAGCTCGTATTCTCACCTGTAGGCCAAGTGCCTTTGCTTGTAACTCCTCTGTCCTTAGTAAAGGTTTTCGCTGTGTTTAAGTCCCAGCTTCTGTGAGTAACCTCCGGGGATCCAATCGGAACATGACAGACAGTCTCTGGTTCAGCTGGAGTCCAGCCTCTGGGGACTTCGATTTTTATGAGCTAATTCTGTACAACCCCAATGGCACGAAGAAGGAAAACTGGAAAGACAAGAACCTGACAGAGTGGCGTTTCCACGGCCTCATTCCTGGAAGGAAGTACACGCTGTGTGTGGTAACTCACAGCGGGGACCTCAGGAACAAGCTCATGGGGGAGAGCAGAACAGGTAAGGAGCTCTGTTGCCAAAGGTCAACTATTGGTTGGAAGTAGCTTCTAAAGACACATTTGAGTTATGGTTTTAATAAGAAGAAAGAAAATCAATAATGGAGTGCCTCGTGCTAGCTCTTGGGAAGGCACTATGCTACAATGGATAAAGGAAGCAGACCTTAACCACTGTTCCTACAAGATCTAGGAAAAGGATCTAGGTCCTTAACTTAGCTCTGCCACTTACCTATGTGAAGCTGGGAAGGTCATTGAACATCTCGAAGTCTCAGTCTTCTTATCTGTAAAATGGGGATAATCACATACGTCATCATTGCATTGCTATCGGCAATGCTTCCTAAATCTTTTATCTCCCGGGCATACACAGATAACATTAATCTGTACACCACCCTGGGATCAATGAACAGAGCTATCTGCAACTGGGCGTAATTGTGGATTGTAGCCCTCACACCTCAAAATCTAATGGAACCAATACCTTGGCACACTTGTAACCCATTCAGGGCGCACCCATGCTCCACAGCACCTTGGTAAGGAATCTCTCCTTAGGAAAATTAAAGAAAATGTGCGTAAAACACTTGAGGACTGCAACTGACACATAGTAAACACTATAGCTAGAAGCTTCCATTATTATATTTTCATATTATTGCTTCCTACAAAGCACCTTAAGGTACATCTGATGTCACCCAGCTCTCGTCTATGCTATGGCATAGACATGTTTATGTGATTTTTTTCATGTTCTCCTACATGCAGCCCCAAGTCCTCCCAGTCTTATCTCATTTGCTGATGTTACAAACACATCCTTGGCCATCACCTGGAAGGGGCCACCAGACTGGACAGACTACGATGACTTTGAGCTACAGTGGTTCCCCAGAGATGCCATCACGGTCTTCAACCCCTACAGCAATAGAAAATCGGAAGGACGCATTGTGTATGGTCTTCGTCCAGGGAGATCCTATCAGTTTAGTGTCAAGACTATCAGCGGTGATTCCTGGAAAACCTATAGCAAACCAGTATCTGGATCCGTGAGGACAAGTATGACATGTTTTACTACTCTTGGTTCTCAGATGGAGTGAGGGGGAAGTATGTGTTGCGACTTCTTACTCCAGCGAGGCTTGGTTTAAATCCACATTTTTACTTGGGGTTGGTTAGATTTGAATTCAGGCATAAGTCTGTATAGACGTCTTCATTCCTTCAACATTAACAACAATGGACAATAAAGAGGTTGTCTCTGCCCTCATGGAGCTTGAGTGGGAAGTGTGACGAAGTAAGTATTTGGCTCTGTAGAAACCCATGGTAGGGGCATCTGAGCCAATACAAGAGAGCTTCCTGGAAGAAGAAACTTCCAAATCAACTCACCAGGTGGATATGGGGAACGAAGTGGAGAATATTCTAGATAGACAGAATAAAATATTCCAAGACCAGGCAAGAGAGAGGAACAGAAGAGTTTAGTTGGCCAGAGCATAAAAGGTGAGGATTAAGAGAATCAGGTCATAAAATGTCTTGTGAACCACAGCAGTGATTTCAACTTTCTCCTCAATCAGTTGGAGCCACCAAGGGATTTGCAGCCAAGCTCTCATAATCAAATTTGCACTATAAGAAGTCACTCTGGGTACAGCGTAGAGAATGTATTGAAAGGGGCAAACTAGAAACAGAGGGGTCAGCTAGGACATATTGCTGTCAATCCTAAAGATAAAAATACTTTGGCAATGAAATATATATCAGTTTCTTCCCAAAGGCACTTTGTAATAGGTACAGCAAATCTCAAAGAACAAACGTTTTCAGTATAGAAACCTCAATCCACATATTTATTTTTCAATAATACCTATATATGTCATTTCTACAACCAGATCAGATAGTGGTTATTTATAAAATAAATAGTTGAAAATTATAAAATTAAGCAAGTAGTTGTTTCATCTATTCAACAAACATTAATCTTATAATAATTATAACTTGTACTCCATAGTGTATCCAAAGAGCAGTTTGGGATTAAATAGTTGGATGTCAAGAGAAATTTGTGAAAAAGAACTTAAGAGTTTTAATTTACAGCAAGCTCAGGATGGGTTTTCAGTGGCTTACCGTGGGCTGTATAACCAAAACAGGTGCTCAGGTAAGAACTCAGTAGAGGCTGGGCTGATTAAATGGCTTCTGGAATACTGTATTCTGTCCTGGGTGCTGGAATTTAAGAGAGGCATTTACGAAATGGAGCATGCCTACAAGGAGAGCCGCTGGCGAGAAGAGGGACTCAGTGCTGTGTTTTATGTGTTTTATGATAGAACTTTAAGGATTGCATTAGTTAGGACTGGGTTTGGTTGTAACAGAAAACCCATCATAATAGAGGGTTAAGCAACAGAGAAGTTGATCATTCCCACGTGGAATCATTCCACTACTCCGTTTCTCACACATCTGCTCCAGCCACGATGAACAATCTGCAAGCCCTGATCTTCCACCTTCCCCCTCCGGGTGCCTGGGTTCATGCATTTCTCCGCCTGAAACACCCCAATTCTCAGCGAGGTGTCTGTCCTCTCTGCCGGAAAGCCTTTGCCAACTCCTGCCCACCACCGACTCCGAGAAGTTGTCTGGTGCTCCACCCACCGCCTTCTTTCTCCATTTCTTCTGGTCCATTCTCCTTGCCATCTCATATTATGGCTGTTTTGTACTGCTCTACCTTCCTAGAGGTTAGGGCTAATGCCTTATTCACTTCTGAACTGTTCACAGTCTCTAGAAGAGCACCTTGCCCATAGCAGGTACTAATTTCTTAGTGAATAGGGATGTGACCTGAGGCCTTAGAAGGCATGTGGGATTTAGGGGCAGAAAGGAGGAGGGAGAAGGAACTGAGGAAAGAGGTTGAAGCAAATTTCTATATTATTCTTTGAGCACATTAGAATTATGGATCAGGCAGGATATTTTTAAAGACTTTCTCTAAGGCTGAACAGAGAAGATGTCTTGATTTCCAGCTGTGATTAGTCTGAAGGAGTTCAAAAGATTAAGAAGCAGTTAATGTTTGAAAAGACACAATTACTGAGGCACCTGGGTGGCTCAGTCAGTTAAACTTCCATCTTTGGCTCAGGTCATCATCTCTCGGTTCTTGAGTTCAAGCCCCACATCGGGCTGTCTGCTGTCAGCACAGAGCCCGTTTTGTATCTCCTGTCCCCCTCTGTCTGAGCTCCTCTCTCACTCTCTCTCTGTCAAGAATAAATAGAAACATTTTTAAAAGACACAATTATTGCTTGCCTCAAAGGCCAATTCCTGTATCCTGAAAAATCTTCAGATTGATTTTTTTTCTAAATCATTCTTATCTAAACTGTTATGACTTAGCTGATATTTTAGACCTTGATATGTAATAGAAATTCATTCAGTGGCACAAAGATACTGAGTATTTCAAAGTCATGATTGTTAAGGACAGAGTCCTATAACGAAGGAGGAGGTGTCAGGAGAAGGTGGGTTGAATACCAAATCAGAGCAACAGGTGCTTCTCTGTGAGGGATTGATTACTAGGTCTACACAGAGTTCCTAGTCGCTCATCTGTGATCTGTTCTGCAAGCAGGGCTTAGAGCTTTCTGCTGTGCAGGCACACAGGGCCTGCGTCCGGAGGGACCCTATGCTTGGTCTCATTTTCTGTTGTCACCATCTTGAAATCTTAATAATATTTTGAACATGGGGCATTGCGTTTGCACTTGGCACTGGACCTTGAAAGTTACGTAGCCAGTCGTACCTACAGGGTGTATGAACCAACATACAATTTTAATTTGGGGAGGAAGGGCAGGTGGAGAAAAGAGAAAAGGATTACATTTACAGCAGGGACTATAAAAATCCAACAATGAAATGGAAGAGGTTTTTTTTTTTTTTTTTTCTATTTGGTGTCCTAAAGGTCAAACATAAGCGTCTTTAGCCTTATTTTTTCAATCCCTCCCCTCATCATGCAGTGCTCTTGTGAGTCTTTTTGATGCTTTGATACCACTGATTAGTGCTGTCTGAAAATTGTTACTGTATTTTCTGCTGGGATCAATAAAACAACGGGCAGGCTTTTTCAAATTAATTTTGTCAAGACTTTTGACTCCTGGAATGAAATAGGGTGGTCTAGACCTAGATTTTCAAGAATTTCCTCAGAAATTCCTGGGGACAAGGGACAAGGTAAGGAAAGTCTTAGGGAGGTCACCCCAGCAGAGCACCCCTGACCACCAAGGCACACTTAAAGCACAGGACCAGCGACCCTCTGATTTAACATATCGGGGAACTGAGACCTTTTTTTTTTTTTAATATATTTTTTAATGTTTATTTATTTTTGAGAGAGACAGAGACAGAGACAGAGCACAAGCCGGGGAGGGGCAGAGAGAGGGAGACACAGAATCTGAAGCAGGCTCCAGATTCTGAGCTGTCAGCACAGAGCCCGATGTGGGGCTCAGACTCACGAACCTGAGATCATGACTTGAGCCAAAGTCGGACGCTTAACCAACTGAGCCACCCAGGCACACTGGCCTTTTCTTTTTTCTTTTTTTAATTTTTTTTATTTTTTATTTAAAAAAAAAATTTTTTTTAACGTTTATTTTTGAGACAGGGAGAGACAGAGCATGAACGGGGAAGGGTCAGAGAGAGAGGGAGACACAGAATCTGAAACAGGCTCCAGGCTCTGAGCTGTCAGCACGGAGCCCGACGAGGGGCTTGAACTCATGGACCTCGAGATCATGACCTGAGCCGAAGCTGGATGCCTAACCGACTGAGCCACCCAGGCGCCCCCAGCCTTTTCTTTTTTAAATGGCTCAGCTGCTAATATTAAAATACAAAAACTACTTATCCAAATCGTACAGTGTAGCTTCCTAGGATGTAATTAGAGATATAGGCATGCAGCTGGTTGGGAAAGCCTATAGAGTTTGGTTATTAACGTGCACGGTCAGGTCACATAAGTGCCTTTCTGTCCGACTGTATCTCTTACTCCTTGTAGTGTCATTCACAACAACTAATGAGATCAGCTGCCATTCACTGGGTCCCTACTGGGTCCGGCACTCTGTTGGGCAGAAGAAAATGAATGGCCATAAGCATAGCAGGTGGAGGAGCGTGGTGTACATGGGGAGCCAGAAGCAGTTTTGGTGCCTGGAGCATGTGTGTGAGCAGGAAAGGCAAAAGTGGAAGAGGGGGACAGAGCCAGGGCCTAGGGGGTTAACAAGTAAGCAATGCCGTTTCTTAATTTTCTCGTAACAGCTAGTATTTACTGAGCGATTACTATGCCAACCACCATTTTCTAGGTGGCTGTGCCTGGTTCTACTCCGTGAACCATCATGGTGATCACAGGATCGAGGTACTCTTCGTCTCCCCACTTTACAAATGGGGCACAGACACCTTACGTAACTTGCCTAAGAAGTCACAGCTGATAAATAGAATTTGAATTCTGGCAGGCCGAGCTGCATTTTTAATCTTTTGGCTATTCAGCCCCACCTTTGATCTGACTCCGCCCCTTAATTTTAGTGCCCCCGCTGAACTTAGTTGTGTATTTGTGTTTCTGATCACTTTGGCACCTGGTGATTTTCTAAAGGGACAGCGTTTTAATTTTTAATGTTTCTCAGAGTGTGAAATTCCTTGGGAGATCCATAATAATTTTTTTTCTTGAAAAACAATCCAAGTAAATTTTGAGAATTATTTATTTAGACCTCAGAGCAAGTAGGGCCCAGAGAAGCTGGAAGAAAAAAAATATGTCTCACAGAGTTGTAAGAAGTGTCTCCTCCTTTCTCTCCTTTAGAGCCAGATAAGATACAAAACCTGCATTGCAGGCCTCAGAACTCCACGGCCATTGCCTGTTCTTGGATCCCTCCTGATTCTGACTTTGATGGGTATAGCATTGAATGTCGGAAAATGGACACTCAAGAAGTTGAATTTTCCAGAAAGCTGGAGAAAGAAAAATCTCTGCTCAACATCATGATGCTGGTGCCCCATAAGAGGTACCTGGTGTCCATCAAGGTGCAGTCGGCTGGCATGACCAGCGAGGTGGTTGAAGACAGCACTATCACAATGATAGACCGTAAGTGTTTCTAGACGCGTGCGCTGAGTGAACACCTTGCTGTACCGCACCCATCACTGCCACTCACTTGCATGCAGGTCGCTTCCACATGAGCAGGCCTTGTTGTCGCTTGGAAAAGAGAACCTAGAAGCCTCCAGGGAATGGAAACATTTCTCTGTGTCTGGCAGCAAACAAGTTAAATGATCTTAAGGTACTTGAATGAGTTAGCCTTTAAATACGTCACTTTGCCTGATAGAGTTAGAGCTATAATGGAGCTTTTAAGCAGTTTGGTGCTATGACTTCAGGAAATCCTGCTGAGGTGCTGCCTCTTTCATTAGGTTTAACGTGCCACTGGCACATCACTTCCTCTGCCTGCTTTCCTCTAGGAGAGGAGGAGGTTTTCTGGATCACAAGCTTTCTACACAGACATACACACGCGCACGCACACACACTGAGGTCGGTGCGTGGAGACCTTCGGTTCACTGATTGCTGTTATGTGGAAAAGCAGAGTTGTGACTCCCCTGGGTTCCTTCTCCATCCTTTTTCAGGGCCCCCTCCTCCACCTCCACATATCCGTGTGAATAAAAAGGATGTGCTAATTAGCAAATCTTCCATCAACTTCACTTTCAACTGCAGCTGGTTCAGCGACACCAATGGAGCTGTGAAATACTTCACAGTGGTAGTGAGAGAGGCTGATGGTAAGTGATCACGGATTATCTACTAGCAGTAGGACACGGGGACTGCTTTCTCAAAGGTCACCGTGGAGGCTCTTTCTGTGACACGTTTGGAAGAGTGGAAAACTTAAATCTTTATATAATTCTGTCCCCTCTCTGCTGGATGCTGGGAGATGTAACAAAAACTTTCAACAATAAAGCCTATTATTCACTGGGTTTAATTATTAAAAGGGTGAATGATAATCATAGCAACCACAGCAGTAAGTACAAGTAACTATCATTTATGGAGCCTTTCCTATGTGCCAGGCACTGCTGGAAGTGCATTGCACGGACTGACCTACACAGCCTTCTTCACACTCATTCAATGCTGTTCACTACTTGTTTTGTTCGGCCATTAAGCGGCAATATGCTTCAATGCCCTCCCCGCCCCAATCGCAAATACCTCAAGGAACCGCACCCTTCCAAACCACTCACCAATTCACAAAGAAATATTCAAGAGCCGAAAAGAGGGAACAGATGATCATGAAAAGCATCCTTCCTTTCTCTACTGAATTGCCAGCAGTATATTCCATTTTCTAGTCTATGAAGGCATTCAAAGTCTACCTAATTTCTACAGGCTAATAGTTACGACAACGTTCCATAGGGCCTCAAGTACGATTTTTAGAGTTTATCATGTCAGCATTTGTCAAACCACCTACAGGAGTGTCGTATTTGCCACCGAGGGCTTGTGCACTATTTCTCCAAAACAGACGTTTGTGTCTGGAGTGGCGTGGTATCTTTTACACGTCTTCTGTTTTTTCAGAATTGTCTAAAGGGTTGCACATGAGTTTCTTAAGCATTTCTATTTCAACACATTTGTGGACGATGAGAAACTTTAAAGCTGACAAGTGCTGGAGCAGCTCCTAGGCTAAATAGTGCTTTAGCTCACCGGGTGTCTAACAGTCTATGTGCTTTGACATGTAATTTAATTGTACTAAAGTTGGTTGTGCGTAACTAATTAAATAATTTCAACGGCCAGTGGTGCATCCCAGATTTCCTTACATCTCATAGTTGGAGATAAATCAGCAAACTGTGGAGAGATTTTAGATTTAATGAAGATGTAGTGAAGGTGATGTTTGTTTTACTACATGAATGTAAGGCAGTGACCAAAAAGAGGCCATACCCCAGAAGGCAGCCTTGTGTTCTCCGGCCATGTGAGTTTTGATTATTGATGTCCATGGAGCTGGGCTGTGCGTCCCTGGTGATCGAAGATAACAGTCCATCTCATGTAAATGTCATTCATAGCATATATGTTCATCTTAAAGGCAACATTCCTTTTCTTTTTTCTTTTTTAATTTTTTTTTTTAACATTTATTAATTTTTGAGAGGCAGAGAGGGACAGAGCATGAGCAGGGCAGGGGCGCAGAGAGAAAGGGAGACACAGAATTGAAGCCCGCTCCAGGCTCCAAGATGTCAGCACAGAGCCCGACACGGGCCTCGAACTCATGAACCAGGAGACCATGACCTGAGCCGAAGTCGGACACTTAGCTGATTGAGCCACCCAGGCGCCCCGGCATTCCTTTCAGTTACTGCCAACAAGATAATATTTCCAAGACCCACTCATTTTGAGCAAATTTTACTAAACAAGAGTCCGGGATGTGGTGAACCCCCACAATACCGCTCCTTGCGACGCATCGTAAATGGTATCCTATCTCTATAATATTTATCTTCCTAATTATGCTTTCCTCCAGCCAACACAAAAACGAGTTTGCAGTGCCAAAACACACAGTAGGCTGGGTGGACAGAGAAGAGTTCTGGGAAGCGTTCCGCACGAGGGGCCAAATTCGAGCCAGGATTAAACTGTACTCAAGATAACAGAGAGCTGTACACGGAGCAATTATCTGACAGGGTGTGGCCCGTGGAGTGTGCCTTTGGGTGACTGCTCTGGACTTGAACTCGATTTCTCTTATCTCTTCCCTATTTCCTAGGTCATAGGGATTTCCTTATTAGCTCAGCTACAATGGTCATTGGCAAGGTAGAGAGCTTGTCTAGTGGGCTGACTCACAGTGGGGAGTGTCCAGCTTTCTGGAGTTCTGGAACACATTATCATCAGATGCAGTGAGTTCACCTCTCAAACACACACATTCTGTTTCCTAGAAAAATGACAGGGTGTGTGCATAAATATACGTACGCGTGTGTATAAAATTTAGTATCCGCACACTTTAATTTTCATTCTAGGGGAAGTGAATTAGAATTAACTTCGTTAGGAGGATTGCGCAGCCTCCTTCAAGATCAAAGAGTCTGCACTTTGGAGATGACCGGTGATGGTGGGTGAGAGGAGGCAGACGGAGAAACCTAGTTAGGAATCACTGAAGTCACGAGAAAGCCAGTGCTTCACTGTGGGTTCTCTCCCTCCAGGCAGTGATGAGCTGAAGCCAGAACAACAGCACCCTCTGCCCTCCTACCTAGAATACAGGCACAATGCCTCCATCCGAATGTATCAGACCGATTACTTTGCCAGCAAATGTGCCGAAAGTCCCGACAGCAACTCCAAGAGTTTTAACATTAAGCTTGGAGCAGAGATGGAGAGCCTGGGTGGAAAATGCGATCCCAATCAGCAAAAATTTTGTGACGGACCACTGAAGCCGCGCACTGCCTACAGGTTAGATGTATTGTTTTGCAAGAAGGGACGTGCTGCACTACTGGGTCCTTAGCAGTCTGGGCATCTGATGCACTCGAGCTCCCGTAGATGAATAACCAGCACTACAACAGTGTTCCACATGTTACTGGGTCATTTATAAAAGTTGAATTCCTGCCCCCGTTCACAGGTAATGTGTAAAGAAGGCCGGCCTTTGGCACTCTGCAAAAGCTCTAATTCATCATATGAAGAATTGAAGGTTCTTAATAGATTGTTTTTTCTCCTAACTTCTTTAGTACAAATAAAACAACTTATTTACTATTTTAATGACTGCGAAGATGTCCAAACAGAAAAATTGAGTGTAGGGAGACCCAAGAAATATGAAGTTTCATCTTCTACTTCTAGTGAGGGCTGTAATTACACATATTTATTTACCTTCTAAGGCATAAAAAGATAAAGGTGCTCTTTGGTCCAGACAGAATTCTTGAAGTCGAAGGCCCCTTGATGAATGGGAGTACCCTTTCCTCCTGCTAGGATGACAGATGAAAAGGAGCAGCTGTTTGCTTTGGCCCTAGGAAGCACTATGGCAGCCAACAGGCCCTTCCAGTCATAGGAATTGGCAGTGCCCTTGGTCTACACTGTGCTCCCCGAAAGCAAGTGTGAGCAGAAGTACACAGCATCCCAAGCCAGAGTCCTCAAGAAAAAGGGAACCTTGGCTGCCATCTTGGATAGAAGCTACAAGCATCCAAGAGCAGTACTTCTGCAGAGAATGTGCTGTCTTTCTTAGGTGTTGGCAGAGCTGACATCCAGCCAGTATGGCAGCCAGTCAGGTTCTCTATGGCGGGTTGGTCAGTGTCCAGGTCTGACTGACTCTTACATATTTTGAGTAGCATCCCTGAGTCCCAGCAGAGACTTTCCTACATTCTCCAAAAGGAGACAATGACACGGCATCACACCTGAGAACTTTCTCAGCCCCTCCCTAGAATCAACACAGGCAGGCCAACAGTTTTCCTAAACCAGAAAACTCACCTTGGGCAGGAACTCTGTGTAACTCCCTCTGCCCAGGACTCACCATAAAAATGTGATTTCCACCCTAGCCCAGGTTGGCATCTTCAGAGTAAACTCATACGATCTTACTAGTGAGGTGGGCTCATATGGTCTTCTATTCCAGAAGAGACCATATGAGCCTACCTGAAGAAGGTGAGATCTCAGACAGAACAAAGGAGAAATGTGAGGGAGATCAGAGCCCTGGAATCCTTTAGTTCCTGTAAGAATCAAGAGATGCCTCAGCTCCTCGGTCACATGGACTCAAGGAGATTTGAACAAAAGTCTCCCAGTGGCTCTATTCGATTTGTGAGTTGGAAAGTGGAGGCTGTTTTTTGTTTGTTTGCTTTCTGAAAGAGAAGGAGAGAAGATGACTGAGTCATTACTACAGTTAAGAGAGGGACAATGAGAAGCTCTAGATGGCTCATGTCTGTCCCAGAGCCTACCACTCTCCACCACACTCCTTCCCATTTGTAACGGCTGCTGAGGGCCTGGAAGAGCCTGTACTGAGTTCACGCACTGCCACTTAGCTGTGTAACCTTGGAAATGGCATTTCAATTCCCAAATCCTCATTTCTCTCATCTGCATAACAACACAGGGCTGTCTTGAGGAGGAATGTAGATGATCCATCAAACCTGGTCATGTCCCTTCTCGATTAAGGTCTTCCAGTGGTCCCCAGTCACTTCTAGGAGTAAATGAAGATTCCAAAGAGGGCTCATAAAGCCCTCACCTTCTCTCTCTTGCTTTGCCTCCTACCATCTGTCACAAGTACACCCTGCCTTTTGTTAACCCTTACTTGGAGTTCCTTTGACAGTGACATGCGTCTCTTACACCTCTGAGCCCTCACACATTCTTTTCACTCTATTTGGGATGCCCTCCCCTCCCTTGACTGGCTGGTGCATCCCTTCATACACTTCAGAAACCAGCTCAGCCCTCAAATTACCCCAATCAACCTGTCAACCCACACTGGGCAGTTGGCCCTAGCTCCCATTTCCACAGCACCCAGACCCTTCATCACTCTAATCCTCACTTACCAGGACTTTTCAGCCCTTTGTTTGGTTACTTACCCTTTTCACTAGACTACGAGAGCTTGTAGTCTAATAGAGACAAAACAATATGACAAATACCTGGCCCCAAAGAGGCACTCATTAAATGTTTGTGAACAAATAGGGAATGACCCAAGTTGCTCTATCAATACTTACACATTTCTTATTATAGCTTGATCAACTCATGCCATACTTACATGTTTTCTAGAACACAGCTTCCCTATATTTCCCCACATTTGGTTCAGTCCTGTGAAAAGCATGCCAGGCAGATAATGCTTGATAAGAGGAGGCACAGCCTTTCAAAGTATGTGGGGGAACCACACACTACGTGGTATCCTGTGTGATGGCTGCTGACCCCTAGCTTAATACAGTCAGAATTCTACCTGTCTCAAGATGATGGTCACCATAGTGACCCTCAAAGCTATCAGGCATCTTTTTTCCAGAGATGAGAGAGAACGGGGGTGGGGGGAGGGTGGTGAGGGGAAGAGGGCTGAGACGAAATGGGAAATGCTAGCTTTAGCTGCTTTGCAAGTTTATTATGTCAACGAATGTAATGTTTCCCATTTGCTACTGGGTTCCTATTACTGGATGTATAATTAACTCCATTCCATATTGGAAGAGAAAGGGCAGATCATGATGGGTGGGAGGCATTTTGGAAGTTAATAAAGTGCTGATCTGGCTTTGTTTCTATTCTAGAGTATTTTTTTAATGTTTGTTTATTCATTTTGAGAGCACCAGCACAAGAGAGAGAGAGGGAGACAGAAGCTGAAGCAGGCTCCAGGCTCTGAGCCATCAGCACAGAGCCCGACATGGGGCTCGAACTCACGAACTGTGAGATCATGACTTGAGCCTAAGTTGGACGCTTAACTGACTCAGCCATCAAGGCTCCCCAGGCTTTGTTTCCATTCTAAATGGAATAGCAATGTGGCCACGATCAGGTAGTCAGCTTCTCTTGACCTCATTTTCCCCAAATGAAGGAAATTGAAACACATGATCTCTAACTTTGTGCTATAGATTTCTGATTGTGGACACATATAAAGTTGAAGTAATTACAATCATATATCTGTTAATTAAAATAATAATATATATGTATACACTGAATATATATATATATACACATGTATATGTGTATATACATGTATATGCAGAAGAGGTCTGTAAAATATAAGCAGAAATGTTGAAGGACATAAGAGAGTAAATAAATGCTGTAAAGGTTCAAAAGGCTTCTTGAAGGAGGTAACATTTTAGCTTAGCATTAACAAGTAGAGAAGGATTTGAAAATATGGAGATAGGGACAGAAGGAGATTCAACGTGGAGGGAAGAGTGGGAGTCAAAGTGCAGAGAAAGAAATACACAGATTGTTTAGAGAAGAGTAAATAATTCAGTTTCAAATTGGGGGAAGAGCATGGAAAGGGGTAGCAGGGAAGACAAGACCAGGAAGGTAGGATCCAGATGGGTGCTAAATGCTAATGTGGTGGTGCTGTCATTTTTGGAAAGAGTTTAAGAGCAGAGCTCCTACTGACCCATTGAATTGAAGGCAATCCTGTACTAGGTCATTGTCTCCTATCTGGGTTCCTAGAGGTTCTTATTCATCTACGTCCACATTGTATTTTGCATTTTGCAGCTAGCATTTCAGAATAGAACATGTCAAGGTTGTCCCACTCAATGCTTTTAATTTACAAAGAAGGAAACCAAGGCATAAAAAACTTTATGGGCCATTCATGTAATCAGCAACAGAGTGATAGCTAGACCTCAGAACCTCTGCTTCCTAGCCTGGGCCCTTTTTACCATCCCTCCAACAGAAGTCATTGCTGTCAAACTGAAATGAAGCCAAGAGAAAATAAGAGAAAGAAATCTGGACTAAGATTCAGAAAACACAGGGTCTGGTTTTCTTTCACTGCTGTTCTTTGTGATCTGGAGCAAGACACAGAATCTCTCCAAACTTCAGGTTCCAAATCTCTGATGTATTATAATAATAAGCTTCCTTGTTATATTGGAGAAGTTGGAAATGATCAGGTAGAACCATGTCTGTGAAAATTCTTCTTCACTTATAAATCACTATACAAATAGAAGAATCTCTTTTCACCGGAGAGACTCATTTCGTTTTCCAAAAGTACAATGCATTAGCAACACACACCAACTCCTCACCTTCCCACTTAACACAAGCTGACTGCTTGTTACCCGTGAGGGACATCTCACAATGCTTCCATCAACAGTCTGTTATTCCTGGAAGTACAACTTTCGGCTGGAAAGCAGCTTTTAGAGGTGGAAATTATAATATGTGGTTGATCAATATCATCTTGTTCGTTTTATAAGATTGCATTTGGACTTGGGCATGAGTTAGAAGGAAGGGCAGAGGGCAGAACAATTTGCCCAGAACATTTGGGTGAAACAAATCTAGATTTATTTTAAAGGAAAAAAGATACTTCCATTCACTTTCGTAGGATTTAAATCAACACTAGGAAAGTTTTCCCATATAATCAAGCCTCATAGTCTCAGCCAATCTACAGTTTGAAAGAGAAAGACCTCAATAGCCGGCCTGAGGCAGTCTTTTTAATTTAGTGCAGGGATGCTCTCCTATTGCTTCTCTGAGAGCGGGTTCTCCTCCAGCCTCTGCTTAAATGCCCTCAATGACTGAGAGCTCACTACCTGTGCAGCAGCTCATACTGTAGGTGTTACAAAGTGACTTTATATTCCCAAACTACACCTCCCTGTGACTTCGGCCTATTGGGCTTCATTCTGCCTTCCTAGAGGAAAAATAACGATGTCTGTTTCTTCTTCTAGGTAAGATTCCCTTAAATCTGAAATCAAACAACATGTCCCACAAAGTCTTTTTGCTCATTGTCCTGTTTAATCACTTCAAATGATCTCAAACCCTTTCTAAGTAAGGTACGTCCCCAGAAACTGAGTGTGGCCATCCAGACTGGCCTGGCTTACCCAGAGAATATGAGACCAAGGTTTTTTGGTGGGGACAAGAGACTTCATCCAGGCTGAGGTTACAACTTCATCTTTTAGTAGCTGCTTATTGAATTCAGGGCCAGCTAATCTCAGGCACTGTCCCACATGGACATGTGGACAGCCACCTCGGCAGCTCTCCTGTCCAGGCGGCTGGAATAACTCCAAATGTCGGCTGGAGACTTCGAGATCAACCTCGCTGTCACTGTAAATCCAACACAGCCCGAGCAAAGCTCTTCTTTCCCCAGTTGAGATGCCCGTTCCTATCAGTGATGCCATTATTCTCTCAAATGACTGAGCTCCAATCGTAGGCCCATCCTGAATTCCTCCCTTCTCCTCTTTAGGCTGGGTCCCATCTGGTCTTTCTTCTCAGTGCCTTCCCCACTGTGGTTCCCTCTGCCGCAACACAGGCATGGCTGCCTCCCTGACTCTCCTCTGATTTCTGTGCACATGTCCTCTTATCCAAGAGCCCTTCACTGATGTGCTGAATAGAGCAGGTCCATATACCCATCCCCATGGCTGTCTTTCTCCCTTACTCTCTTCTTTTCTTTTTCATGGTACATATCACCATCCAGCATATTGAATTTGTATATATGTTATCTGACTTCTAACACTAGAGTATGTAGCCTCTGGATGGTACGGTCTTTGTTGTGTCCCTGGCAGTATCCCCAGATCCTAGAACAGGAACTGGCACATAGTAGAGGCTCAGTAAACATTTGACGAATAAACGAATAAATGCATGAATGAACCCAGGTCTATCTGATTCCATATTTCATATCCTACCTTGGACACATATTGACCAGGGGCCCACCTTGTTTCTCCTTGAGCACATTTTCTAGTCAGCTTTACTGTGGACAGACACTAATTTGTACTCAAATAAATCGGTTTCCCTTTCAGAATCAGCATTCGGGCTTTTACACAGCTGTTTGATGAGGACCTGAAGGAGTTCACGAAGCCCCTCTACTCAGACACATTTTTCTCTTTGCCTATCACCACCGAGTCAGGTAAGGCTAACCTCTTCATCTACCCACATCGTCTACCAACTGCTGTGTCACTTATAAGAGCCCCTAAGTCTGGTGACTTGGCTAACAGGGGAACATGTGCTTTCACTTGGAATTTAATCTCTATGTGATCATGCATGATGTGGATTAGAGAAATTGCTCGTACTTCTAAAGGGGAATGGACTGAATGCGCATTAATCTTGAAAAGAAAGTAGAAGTATCAGATTTCTTTAATTAAAAATGAAGTTTTTAAAAATATGAGTGAAAAACATTCAAATTAAGAACTTGCACAGGCCAAAATATAAGTACAAAAGGCTTTTGCTCATAGGTGAGAATGTATGTATGCAGAAACATAGAAATGCATAGAAAAGAAAAGACTAGAAGGAAAACCACCAAAGTATTAACAATGAGGGGTGCCTGGCTGGCTCAGTCAGTAGAACATACGACTTAATCTTGGGGTCGTGAGTTCAAGCCCTACGTTGGGCATAGCGTTTACGTAAAAAAGAAAAAAAAAAAAAAGTATATTGAGGCTCCTGGGTGGTTCAGTTGGTTAAGCGTCCGACTTAGGCTCAGGTCATGATCTCGCAGTTTATGGGTTTAAGCCCCTTGTCGGGCTCTGTGCTGACAAGCTCAAAGCCTACAGTCTGCTTTGGATTCTGTGTCTCCTTCTCTCTCTGCCCCTCTCCCTCCCCTTCCCCCTTCCTCTCAAAAATAAACATTAAAAAAATTGTTCTTAAAGTATTAACAATGAATATCTCAAAGTAGTGGGATTATAAGATGATTTTTTTCCCTCTTTGCTTATGTTACTTTTACACCATAAAAAAATGTTAACTTAAAAAAGACTACATAAATTTATGAAAGAAACTTCCCTAGTGTTCTAGAGGGAAAGCCTGAATAATAATAGCAGCTAATATTTACTATCACCTTGGTACATGAAATAGTTTATCCAATCTTTACTACAGCCTTTTGTGGTAGATACTGTTATCATCTCTATTTCAAAGGTGAAGACCTGTGACACCAAGAGGTTTAAGTAACTTGCCCAGGATGGTAGAAGTGGAATTTTGGCATTTTCTGCTGGAGTCCTTAACCTCTGCCCTGCATTGCCTCAGAATATTCCCATCATGCTGCAAACAGCCTCATGTTTCAGCACCTTGTTCCCTGATACGGTCTTCTGTCCCAGCGTTTCCCTGTAGCCAGTGTTCCACAATGCTTGGTCTCAGGAAGTTCTTCTTCATAGCTAAAACAGTCTCTCATGCTGCATGACAAAAGATGACTCAGCCTCACAAACTCTCCCGTCTATTTATGCCAAATATAGGGATAATCTCCCACTTTTCAAACCAAAAAGGGATCAGAACACAGCTAAGAGGACTTAGATGTGTTTGCTTGTAATTGAAAGTTAAGTAGGGGCATCGTAAACACAATTCTTTCCTATTTGAAAACAGCAAAAATTGTATGTAGTCCAGCAAAGGAAGATAGTCAACATATATCCAAGAAAAGAATATTAACCACATTAAAAGATTGTGTTGATTTAATACATCTCGAATAGCAACATTGAACAAACAAAATCCAAGGGCTTCAAGTGCAAGTTCAAAAACAGGCTGCTCCATAGACCTAAATATAAGAGCTGAAACAATGCAACTTTTGAAAGAAAACACAGGAGTAAGAATCTGTGACCTAGGATTAAGAAATGATTTCCTAGGTCTGATAGTGATAGCACAAGCAACAGAAGGAAAAAAAAAAAAAAAAAGATAAATAGGACTTGGTCAAAATTGAAAACTTTTGTGCTTCAAACAGGACCATGAAGCAAGTGAAAAAACAGCCCACAGAATGGGAGAAATTATTTGCAAATTAATATCTGATAAGGGTCACATGTCCAACATAGGTGAAGAACTGTTACCTTACAAGTCAAACAACAGGGGTGCTTGGTGGTTCAGTCGGTTAAGCATCCAACTCTTGATTTCATCTCAGGTCATGATCTCACAGTTCATGAGATCAAGCCCTGTGTCAGGCTCTGCACTGACAGTGTGAAGCCTGCTTGGGACTCTCTCTCTCTCTCTGTCTCTCTCTCACTCTCTCTCTCTCTCTCTCCCTCCCTCCCCCCCACTCGCTCCCCCCACCAAATAAATAAACATTTTTTTTTTAAAAGTCACATAGCAAAAGATATGAATAGATGTTTCTCCAGAGAAGATACACAAATGGCCAATAAGAACATGACCAGATGCTCAGCATCATTAGTCATTAGGGGAAATGCCAATCGAAACCACAGTAAGACATCACTTCACACCCCCTGCAATGGCTGTGATCAAAAGACACTGACAAGTGTTAGCGAGGATATGGAGAAATTGGAACCCTCCTACATTACTCGTGAGAATATAAAATGGTTTGGCTGCTCTGGAAAACATTTCTGCAGTTCCTCAAAATGTTAAACCTAGAGTTACCATCTACCCAAACCAGCAACTCCACTCCTAATTATGTACCCAAGAGAAATGAAAGCATACGCACACACAAAAACTTGTACACGGATGTTCGTAGCAGCATTATTTATAATAACCCCCAAATAGTGGTAACCCAAGTGTCCATCAGTGGATGAATGGCTAAACAATATGTTATATATTCCATGCAATATTATCCACCTATGAAAAGGAACAAAATACTGACCCCATGCTACAACATGGATGAACTTTGAAAACATTATGCTGAGTAAAAGAAACCCGTGACAAAAGACCACCTATTTATGTTTCAATTTATACGAAATGTCCAGAATAGGCAAATCCACGATGACAAGTAGAGTTTTGGTTGCCAGGAGCTGGGGAAGGATGGAGAGTGACTGCTAAGAGGTATGGGGTTTCTTTTGAGGGGTGACAAAAATGTTAGAAAATTGAATGTGGTGATGGATGTTTGTCAGACTCCATGACTGTACCAAAAAGCATTGAATTACACAATTTAAATTGGTGAATTGCGGGGCGCCTGGGTGGCTCAGTCGGTTGAGAGTCTGACTTTGGGTCAGGTCGTGATCTCGCAGTTGATGAGTTCGAGCCCCACGTCGGGCTCTGTGCTGACAGTTCAGAGCCTGGAGCCTGCTTCAGATTCTGTGTTTCCCTCTCTCTCTGCCCCTCCCCCAATCATGCTCTGTCTCTCTGTCTCAAAGATAAAATAAACATTAAAAAAATTTTTTTAAATAAATTGGTGAATTGCATAGTATGTGAATTGTATTTCAATAAAGCTGTTTTAAAAATAGTCTGCTCTTACCTATTCATAAACTCCCAGAGGTAGTATTATACCAGATAATAAAAATAAGATTTCATTAAAATAGCTCTCAGTAATTCACTGGATTTGCAAAAGTCCCCAGTGCTACTCATTACTTGTTTCATATGAATGAAATAGGATTTTTAAACTTTTATTTTTTAAATTTATTTTATTTTAAAGTTTATTTTTGAGAGAGAAGAGTGCACAGGAAGGGCAGAGAGAGAGAGAGAGAGAGGGAGGGAGAGAATCCCAAGCAGTCTCCTCATGCCAGCGCAGAGCCTGACGCAGGACTCGAACCCACGAACTGTGAGATGGTGACCTGAGCTGAAGTCAAGAGTTGGACGCTTCACTGACCGAGCCACCCAGGTGCCCCTGAAATAACATTTTTATCTTGGTGGCAAACTGCTGGCCTTTCCATAACAAGCACAAATGAGTCCAAAATTCCTTTATAAGCTGAACACCATGAACTTCAAACATGTAAGGACTGACCTGCCATTCCAGTGTAGGAGCCAGTGTTTCACCTTCCCGGCTGCACACTCCTCCGTGATCTAGTAAATACTCCAGTGTGGCCATCGTTTGAATTCTTCCGTAATAATGTCCCTAGGGAGACAGGATTTCAGTAGCTGGCTTCCTGGTTCTTTAGCACTAATTTTCCTACCTGGGTTTGTTATTTCCTTCTGGATTATTGTAGAGCCTTTATTTGGAGTTATTGAAGGTGTGAGTGCCGGTCTGTTCTTAATTGGCATGCTGGTGGCCATTGTTGCCTTATTCATCTGCAGACAGAAAGCTAGGTGAGTACAAAGATTCCTATGGTGATTGGGCTCCCAACTTTAAAGGTGCCTTTGAAAATGCCCATTAGCCTGAGAAGTAAGAAGGGAAAAGAATTTCCTTTCTCCAGGCTAAATCATCTTTGTTTCTGGAGAAAAACAAGTCAAACCCTCCAACAATGACTCGTTTTATTCAGCCCCTCCACGACCATTGATGAATTTTGCCCCAGCCAAATGACTGAGGGGCCATCTGTAGCTTCTTCATTTGAATGTGAAATAACTCCTTTTGCTCCTGAAGATAGAGATGTCTGTGAATTGCCCACCCAAGTGCTTTTCTGAAATATGCTGAAAAGTATGGTTGACATCACCATGTCGTGGTCATATTTGCCATGCTAATTTAAGAAGGGACCAAAAAGAACCAAATAGCAGGTGGCCCCAAAGCCACACCCCCTCCTCTTAGGGAATTTGTTTTATTTGGCACATTGTCTTCCCTCTTGCAGTCATGTCTTGCATCTAAGGTTTACTGGGTTTTTTTTTTTTTTTTAAGGAAAGTTTTATTGAGAGTGTGGGAAGTGATTATGACCTGTAGCCAAAAACCAGAAGACAAATCTTCAGCTATTGCAGAGATCCGTTTCTGAGTGGGAAAAATCTATTTCTTCTTTATGTTCTTCCTCCCCTCAAAGAGACGTTGGCTGAGTGTAAATCTACATGAATACTGAAAAATCCATATTTGCACAGACATGCACAGCCTCACCATAAATGGAAAATTTTGTTTGAATCAAGTTTCATAATCAGAATATAAACCCTCTCCCTTATGTTTCAGCCTTGGTCGAGAAAGGCCCTCTGCCCGCCTGAGCATTCGCCGGGATCGACCATTATCTGTCCACTTGAACCTGGGCCAGAAAGGGTGAGCGCCACATTTTCCTTCACATAATGTATTGAAAGATGAGTTGATTGTTTTATGTGAGATTTGCTAACGAGGTCTTTCTTCTTTTGGCGTCCCTCACAGTAACCGGAAAACGTCTTGGTAAGAGAGAGAACTCATTAATTACTATATTATCTGCTTTTGAAATACAACCCAGATTGGGTATGGCAGTTTCCCTTTACGTCAGTAATTTTCTTTTTCTTTTTTCTATTTTTAACTATAGCCCAATAATAATAAATCAGTTCGAAGGGCACTTCATGAAGCTGCAAGCTGATTCCAACTACCTTCTATCCAAGGAATACGAGGTACCACTTGGGCTCCGTGATGCTTTAGCAATCCCAGTCCTTAGAATTTCCCTTCCAGCCTCCCTCCTTTCCCTTTCCCTTCCCTCCTCCCCTCCACGTGGAGTCTCCCGTGGAGTCACAGGCTGATAGGGCTCGGGAGCTGACCCGTAGGATCTCAGCTGACCGCTCTTTTATGCCCGAATCCATTCCCTGCTGATGCACCACTGGGTCCCAGAGGCCAGTCTGATCTCCAGAACAGCGCAGCAAGCAAAGTGCTACTTGGACAAGACGTTAAGAAAGAATTAACAAATCTCAGATGTAAACCTAATTCTGTCTATTATTTAACCTGGCATTTTGCTGGACTGGGAGACGATGTGGTTTGGTGAAAAGTGCCCAGGCTGTGGATTCGGTTCCCAGCTTTGCCACGTGTGTGGCCTGGGGCAGGTTAGTTATCCAGTCTGAGCCTCATCTGTAGAGTGGAGGTGAGAACAGCTCCTCTGCTGTGGGGATCAGAGCCATTCTGTAAACAGCAACTACTGGGACATGTTGTTAGATCATTATGTATCTTGAGGACTGTATGATTTGCCTTCTCTTATTTCATATTCTCCACCTGCAAACTTCTTTTTGACCTAATAGGACTTGAAAGACGTGGGTCGAAACCAATCATGTGACATTGCACTCTTGCCGGAGAACAGAGGGAAAAATCGATACAACAATATATTGCCCTGTGAGTTTTGTGTTGAAATGTGTCAAGCTGTCTTCCTCTAGCCATTTCTTCTCTTTTCTAGGAATAAAATGGGGCTAAAGAAATATGGTAGAGCTGAATATGGAAGATCTGAGGCTCTGAATGCCTTTAAAAAGGAATGACTTGTATGTTATTGCACTTCCCTTCAGTGGGTAACAACCAGCTTGCAACCCGCTATGACACCTCTCATGCTGTTGACAGGTCACCACGTGGTCCTACTGCACCTCCTTGGAAGCCTGGGAGCAGTAATGGGGTTAACAGCAAAGGCCAGTGTGGGTTTCCTTCAAGTCCTAAGTTAGGAGTTATTATATATTTTTTATTATCCTGACCCTAGCAGGTGAGGCAGTAGAAAATAGTTGTTCTGGATTGTATTTATTCCGGCTGTGAAAGGGAGCCGGCCACTCCGTCGGGGAAAGGTATAGTGTTATGAAGGAAAGAGCAGAGGGGGCCTCAAAGAGCATTTGGCTTCTTTGTGTGTTTATGGGCCGCCTGAGCAACTTGGCAAATCAGTCACCCTGTCTGACCCTCATCTGCAAATGGAGATGAGAATACCTCCCTCTGGGTGTTTTGGGGGTCAGAGCTAATGCATATCAAATACCAAGCCTTCCATCAAACAGTAGAAAAAATCATCCTAAGATCCAGTGACTCTCAATCAACTTCCTTCCAGATGATGCCTCTCGAGTGAAGCTGTCCAATGTAGATGATGACCCGTGCTCAGACTACATCAATGCCAGCTACATCCCTGTAAGTGAACCATTAAGCCATAGTGCCCGGGATGAAGCTTTGATGGGTGGCTACATTGCAGACACCTTTCCTCCCACATGCTCCCACACTGTTCCCAGGTCTGGAAGCACATAGGTCTGATTGCCATAAAACACAGGGGGTGCAATTCCATCACTAGGGCCCATTTTTCACAATGGCTATAGTCACACAAGATGATAATGAGCTCAGGAGGCATTGTCAAGGCTAGTCTTCTCTCTGCAGCTCTCAGCAAAGATTAGAGCTCCCTAAGGAAGCTCCATGGCTCAGGCTGCCCAGCTAGGGGAGCTGACTCAATGTTATTTGGATTTTTGAAAACCAAAGACAGAACTCAAAAGTTGTGTCAAACTATTGGGCTCAAATTCTGACTAGCATCTTGCCAACTTCCCACAGCACACTACAGTGGAAAAGACTTTAAGGTCAGATAGTTTCACAGTTGAATTTCATCTCTGCCCCTTGCTGACTCTGTGACCTCGGGCAAGTTATGTCACCTCTTGGGGCCTCATTTTCTTTCCCAAAAAATGAGGAAAATAATATTTACCTCAAATAATTATTCATTCACTCAATAAACACTATGCAGTTAAGTAGTAACTATAAGTCAGACACTGAGCTATGTACAGGGATAAGGTCAGGTGGAATCCTGACCATGAGAGAAGAGTCGGGACATCAGGAAATGACAAGGCGATGCCATGGGAAACAGGCTAGAGAAGTCTTCTCCACCATCAACATACATCCACAGCATGTAGGGTCTTGTTAAAATGCAGACTCTGATTAGGCAGGGCTGGGTAGGACCTGGGTTTCTGCATTTCTCACAAGCTCCCCAGGTCATCACCGGGCTGCTGGTCTCTGGGGAGCAAGAAGCTAGGGGTGGCCAGGGGAGCTTCTGGGAGGAGACCACCAGCCCGCAGAGCTGAAGATAAAGGAAGGCTCAGCAGAGCAGGCAACATGCTGAAACATGGAGGCTAAATAAGGACTAGCCAGCCGAGAGGCAGTGTTTGGGTGGGCGGGCGTGGGGGTGGCAGAGGTGACACAGTGCAGGGGCCCCGAGGAGAGGCAAGGAGAGAAGGAACTTCAGCTAGGAGCTGCAAGTAATTCTGTCTTCCTGGAGTGCAGAATAAGTGGACGAAAATATCCTAGCTCATAGAGTTGTGGTGAAGATTAAGTAAGATCTGTGGAAGTCCTGCCCCACAGTATATGGTAGATGCTCGATAAACAATGGTTTCCCTTCCCCTAACTTTCCCTTGTACGATGTCTCCAACCAGCGCTCGTATCAACTATCCAAAATGTCTAAAGCTCCCCTACATTGAATAGGGGAAGAGCCTGATCCAAGTCAGTCCCTCAGACAGTCCCTTCCTACACACACACACACACACACACACACACACACACACTGTCTAGATTATTGCCTGAGTCCTCCATTGCCTCTTAGAATAGACCCAGCCTAATAAATGGGAAGCAGGCTCCTAACAATAGTTCAGTGTTCCGGCCTTTGTCCTTCCTGTTCCCAAGCCTTGACACTTGTGTTAGTATCTTTTTCTCAAGTCAGGGATCTGGCAAAGACCTATATATCATGTAGTCTGCAGAGATAACCCTCTGTTTACAGTCCTGAGGAGGCCCATTGTTCCTGACTCTCCATGTTGTAAATTCATCACAGGGCAACAACTTCAGAAGAGAATACATTGCTACTCAGGGACCTCTTCCTGGCACGAAGGATGACTTCTGGAAAATGGCGTGGGAACAGAATGTTCACAACATCGTCATGGTGACCCAGTGTGTGGAGAAGGGCAGGGTGAGTAAACAGTCTCCCTGACTTCCGAACTTCACTTACCGCCCCCAGGATGGAATTCTACCCCACCTCCGAGAGTTAAACTCCATAAAAGCAAAGGAGGGATCATGTGAGAACATTGTTAGTGAATTCAGCCACTCAGTTACAAGAGGCTTACCTGGGTGATACTCACTTCTGATTCTGGGTCTGAAGTTTCAGGCAAAGGTGTTTCCATTTGAAGACTGGGATCATCAGAAGTGCCCATGACACAGAAATATTAGGTGGCTCCTTGTCTGTTCCACCCTTCAGTGTATACCTTGCCAGAATCACTGGCTCTGCCCCTACTTTTAGGAAAGAGGAAGTAAACTTTAGGCTGCAGACACAAAGTAAAATAGTTATCTAGGGCACCTGGGTGGATCAGTCCGTTAAGTGTCCAACTCTTGGTTTTGGCTCGGGTCATGATCTCACAGTTTGTGGGTTGGAGCCGTGTATTAGGTTCTGAGCTGACAGTGTGGAGCCTGCTTGAAAATCTCTCTCTCTCTCTCTCTCTCTCTCTCTCTCTCTCTCTCTCCCTCTGCCCCTACCTCCCCCCCATAAAAAATAAATAAGCTTTAAAAATAAAATAAAATAGTTACCTGGACAAATTAAGCAAATCTTGTAATGCATTTATAAGCCTCTATTTTATGTGGTTATTTTGAGGATGAAAAAAGAGATTGCATATAAAATACCCAGTATCTGTGATCAATAAATATGGGTTCATAATTCTCCCTCCTGTCTTCCTACATGTAAATTGAAGCTTAGCGAAATGTTCCAAATTTTCAAATATCACTTGGCACATGGCATTTGGTCTGGGTGAGGACAGTGATATCAAAATAGAAACAAAACAGGGCCAAGAAGACATTGGCTCCCTCTGCCCACCTAGAACTTTCTTGAGAAAGAACTATTGTAATATGTGGGTTATGGGCCAGTGGAATTGAAATGCAAAGGAAATCAACAGAAAGCTCAAGCCTTGGAACAGTGTGCCTGAAAGGTACGTGAACCCAAAGTCGGGGCTTCGCTCCTTGGATAGTCTCCAAGGAGAGCTCCCTCCAAGTCTCTCCTTCCTTCGCAACTGCAGCCTGGTTTGAGCACTGGCCCTGAGCACACTGATGTAGAGCAGATGGTCAGACGCTCTAGCAGCTGACCCTAGATTCCAGCTCAGGAAGATGTTTTGAGGAGGAAACATCCAGGTTCATAGAGGAGTCACGTTTCCAGACTCACATATCTCTGTCTTCCTCTAGGTAAAGTGTGACCATTACTGGCCAGCAGACCAGGATTCCCTCTACTATGGGGACCTCATCCTGCAGATGCTCTCAGAGTCTGTGCTGCCTGAGTGGACCATCCGGGAGTTTAGGATATGCAGCGTATGTTTGTCTGTTTGACTTAACCTAACAGCCCCTATTGGAAAGACACAGGACACCCATGAATCCCCTTTTTGCCGCTTCCTCCCCCATAGTTTCAGCTCATGGGAGTTGCTGAGTGGCATCAGATGTCAGACTTGTATGTTTGCCTTGGGTCCTTCCTCTTTTTTTTTTTTTTTTTTTTTTGGTGGTGGTGGGGGGTGTCCTTCCTCTTATCATCCTCTCTGCCTTCCAGGAGGAACAGCTCGATGCACACAGACTCATCCGCCACTTTCACTACACAGTGTGGCCAGACCACGGGGTCCCAGAAACCACCCAGTCCCTGATCCAGTTCGTGAGAACCGTCAGGGATTACATCAGCAGAAGCCCTGGTGCCGGGCCCACCGTGGTGCACTGCAGGTACCGACGGGGAGTGGAGCGTCCGTCTGGGCCAACCGGCCTGCGCAGGCTGAGAGCACATTATTGTGCTCTCTCCTGTCTTCTTTCTCCCTTTCTTCACCTTCCACCTGTCTCTCACCCTCACTCTCCATCCCTTTCTCTCTCCCTCTTGCTCTTTTTGCTGCTGTACAAAATGCAAAGTCCCTATGTGACTTCCAGGCCCGCCATAAGTGGGTCCGTCTCACTTCCCAACCCAAATTCCTGGAAACCTCCCTCCCACGCTCTCCACAAACCTGCCTATTCTCGCCTCTTGCCATCCTTCCTCTTTGGAATGGCCAAATCTCTCTGCTCCGCTTGTATAAACCCTGAGCACCCTTCCAGATCCCTGCTCCAGACCTCCCTGCAGGTCAAGTAGCACTTGCCATCTGGAGCACCCAGTTTTGCTCTTAAATCTCTGTTCTGTCTTGACTTCTCTTTGCTTTGGACTGCATACCCATATAACCAGCCTAACAAGCAATGCCTCACTCTTTGTCTCTGGGGAGCCTGATGCTTAGCTAATTAACGTTTGCAGCAACGCTTTGATAGCCCTGACCGAATGGCACTAAGAAATAAAGAGCAGGGAATTGCTACAGTAAGAGAAATGTCAGATGCCCTTGTTTCCTCGCAGTTAGCCCAGCACCCTAGGAGCCTGGCTTTTATATGTCATTGGAACCCTGATGCTTTTAATGGGAATGTGAAACACTCAGGAGCTTCCTGCTTTCTGAAGAATGGCTGGCATTTCTGCCGGGACCACTTGAGAACTGTTATTCTTTATCTTACAAATCTGTGCATCAGAAACCTCCAGTTACACAGTCACTTTGGGAAGCAATTCAGCAATCCCTACTGAAGCTAGGGATTCTAGCTTCCCAATGACCCATCAGTTCTGCTTCTAGATATCAACCCTAGAGAAGTCCCCATGCATGTGCACAAGGAGGCTCACTGCAACACAATGTTTAAAGGAGAATAACTAAAAATGATCTCATTGCCTGTCAGTAGGGAATAGATTAGCAGGGGTTAGACTGGCAGTGGTTTATGAACGCTGTGGAGTAGTTAAAAGAAAGTGGATCTTGGGGTGCCTAGGTGGCTCAGTCAGTCAAGAGTCCGACTCTTGATTTCAGCTCAGATCATGATCTCACAGTTTGTGAGTTAGAGCCCTGAGTCCGGTTCTCTGCTGTCAGTGCAGAGCCTGCTTCAGATCCTCTGTCTCCCTCTCGCTCTGCTCCTCTCCTGCTGGTTCTCTCTCTCTCTCTCTCTCTCTCTCTCTCTCTCTCTCTCAAAAATAATAAGTAAGTAGAAACTTAAATAAATAAGAATCAAATTAAAAAAAAAAGAAAGTGGATCTGCATGTAACAACATGGATAAATCTCAGAACACAATACGGAGTAAAAAGAAAGTTGGCAGAAGGATACATAAAACATGTTACCATTTTGGTCAATTTTTGGAACATAAAAAATGAGTATATGGTTCATGGTTTTACATGTATGCCGGAAAAGTATAAAACATCCATGGAAACGCACACTGAGTGTAGAGAAGCACTTATCCCTGGTGGGGCGGGGGACGTAGAGGAAGGAAGGAAAAAGAGATGAAAAGCTGGAACTTTTCTCAGAGGGAAAGAAGGGTTCCCACATTCTCTCATAACCTGGAAGGGAAAAGAAAGATGGGCCTAGAGTCTCTGGGGATGCAGTCCTGAAAGGCTAATTTAAGAAAAAAGGCTCAGTCTTCCTTCACTCTCTCTCCTAGTGCCGGTGTGGGTAGGACTGGAACCTTTATCGCATTGGACAGAATCCTCCAGCAATTAGACTCCAAAGACTCTGTGGACATTTATGGAGCGGTGCACGACCTAAGACTTCACAGGGTTCACATGGTCCAGACCGAGGTAAGAGTTACAGGCTGAAGGACACAGATCACCTTCCCTGCCTCTTTCCCCTAAAATGTCCAAGGCTTTAATCTGACAAGGGCAAATAAATGACTGTGACTCATTAGGAAGAGAAAGAGAACTGAATATAGGTGTTCTGGCAGACTCGTCATTGTAAACATATTTCAGTGACCTTGAGGCCGATGTGTGTCCTTTTCTCTACTGCACCGGTTGCCCATCTTCTGTAGGTGGGTGGGAAGCACTGTTTTAAATCAATGCATTGTACGTGGGTGTACCTGGGGGAAAGGCCAGGCCAGTCTTGAAGGTTATTTCCAGATAGGCTGGCTAGTGAGTACCAGAACTTCCATTAAGAAAAAAGAAACAGACTACAGTCTCTTCTCTCCTCCAGCCCACCCCAGCCCACCTCTAAAGACCCCAAAGGACTGCATGCACATTGATTACAAAGGATAAATGCTTCCATTTGTGCTGTGCTTTGACATTTGTAGGGCATTTTTGAACATGTTATCTCATTAAATTTTCACAAAAAAACAGACAAGAGAAGTATCATTTCCCATTTCCAGGCTAGAATGAGATTCAGAGGCTAAAGGGCTTTGCTA